AATAATAAAATAAAAATACTATAAAAGCCCCTTATTAGACGAGAATTTTAGTACGTTCTCTTACCCCTTGTTTTCTCTTTACTCTCATCTTCCATATCTTGATCATCTAGAAACTTTCATGCTAGGTTATTGTAAATATATGTTCTCTTTCCTTTGGTTTTAGCAGTTTTTAGACAGGAACAAATACTAATGTATTTGTTCATTTTCAAAAATCTATCTTTATATTTCTTTCTGTATCTCCTGGAGATCTTAGTTACTGCTATATAGGAGCAGGCACAGTTTGTCCCAAGAGAATGGTAGCAAAGAAATGAAAACCAAACTTCTAAAATTTCCTGTTTTAATCTCCACTGCCTCCTGCCTCAAGCTATATCCGTTTTCCCATAAACACCAGTTCCGAACAGCCACATTGCCCCTTTTTCCTTGGTATTTGGTGTTCGCTAGATAACTTGGCATTCTCCTCCCCACCCCCCGACCCCCCAGTAGCTCCTTTGAAGTTGATCTTGGAAGAGGGAGCCAACAATTTTACATTGTCAGCATTTTGGTAGGAAACAGAATTGGAACTAATTTTTCTATTTAATCTTCCCAATATTCCTAAGAGGTAGATAAGGAAATGGAGAGACAGAGAAATTGCCCAATGTGAAACTGCAATTAAAAAAAAAAAAGATTTATTTACTTGAGAAACAGAGAGAATGTGTGCCTGCATGTGTGAACAAGTTGTGGGGGCGGGGGGAAGGAAATAGGGAGGAGAGAGTCTTAAGTAGACTCTGTGCTGAGCCCAGAGCTTGACACAGGGCTTGATCTCAAATCCCCGAGATCACAACCTAAGCTGAAACCAAGTCAGGTGCTTAACCAACTGCACCACCCAGGTGCCCCTAAAGCTGCAGTTAAAAACCCTATCTATTTGACTCCAAAGCCCATGTGCTTTTCCATTCTCAAATCAACATTGAAACAAGCTGTATTTTCAGCCAGGAAGATGAAAATACCTAGGTTTGAGTTCTGGCCTTGCTACTTAATTAGCTGTGGAATCTAATGCAAATCATTAATCTTCAAAGTCCTTTCCATTCACTAAAAACTTATTTCTTACTTACATCCTCTACCTGTGTTTCAGTAATTCTCAGTGAAGATTTAATTCATTCCAGTATGATTTCTGCTACCATTGTTCAACTGAAATTATTCTCACCAAAGTTGCCAATCTCATCCTTGTTGCTAAATGGATTGAACATGCAATGTTGTGTCCTTCCCATATACTATGCTTTGTTTTATATTTCTTAATGCATTAAAATACTATAGTTTTGGGCAGCCCCGGTGGCTTAGCGGTTTGGTGCCGTCTTTGGCCTGGGGCCTGATCCTGGGGACCTGGGATCAGGTCCCACGTCGGGTTCCTTGAGTGGAGCCTGCTTCTCCTTCTGCCTGTGTCTCTGCCGTTCTCTCTTTCTGTATCTCTCATGAATAAAGAAATAAAATCTTAAAAAAAAATACTATAGTTTTAGTTAACTCAGAAAATCACCTGAAAGTTTGCAGAGAGAACTTTTCTCACAAACGGCCATACTTACAGATTTCATTTAAATGTGGTGTTGGACCAGTGAGACAAATGAGAAAAGATTGGAGAAATCACACACAAATTAATTTGAGACAGATCACATAAGATCCTAAACATAAGAGCTAATGTTGAATTAGTTTGCATTTCTTGAAGAAAACATGGGAGAATAACTTCCTGACCCTGTGGTAGGCAAGAATTTCTTAAAGAAACAAAACACTAAAGATAGAAGAAAAAATTGATAAATTAGACTCCATCAAACTTATAACTTTCTACTCACCAATGATGCTATAAATGAAAGGAAAAGGCAACCACCAGAGCCAAGTTCTCTTTAAAAAAAAAAAAGATTTTATTTATTTGAGAAAGAAAAGAGAAAGAGCACAAGCAAAGGTAGGGACAGAGGGAGAAGCAGACTCCCCGACTGAGCAGGGAACCCAACACAGGGCTTGATCTGATCTCAGGACCCTGAGATCATGACCTGAGCTGAAGGCAGACAACCGACTGAGCCACCCAGGTGCCCTAGAGCCCAGTTTTCTGTTCTTGGTGTGAGAGGTTACACATAAGCAAAGAGAGGAAGATAGGATGATCTCTGTGATAGTGAATTACAATTGGAGACATCAGCGTGAACTCATGATTAATTTAATATAGGTATAGGTGGTTATGTATGGAAATATTTATAGATATGTATATGTATAACTTAGTACAGAAACAGGTATATTTCTTCACTCTGTCAGCTGAAAGACTCTCTAGTAGCAAGGAACACACCTCGTATCCAGATCTTGGTTTCTAGCACCATTCTCAAAAAAAAAAAAGGAACCAGGGCTCCTTGGAGAAATGACTGGTCCTAGTAGTGGGGCAGTGAAAAAACAAGGTGAGCCCAGAGCATCTTGTAGTGACAGAAAGTAAGGAAGTACTAAAATAAATAAACAAAAACAAGCAAAAAACAAAACAAAACAAAACAAAAAAAAAACAAAAAGATCCCTCAATCATGAAGATACGTTACAGTGACAGAGAAACAAACTGAAAAAGCTACCAATGGCCAAAGTTGAAACAATTTGACCAACAAAATAAAATAGTATTAGAGTATGACCCAAAGTATAAAATAAATACCCATGGGGTGCCTGGGTGGCAGAGTCGGTTAAGCATTTGACTCTTGGTTTCAGCTAAGGTCATGATCTCAGGGTCATGAAATCCAGCCCTATGTTGGGCTCTGTGTTGGGCATGGAGCCTGCTTTAAGATTCTCTCTCCCTCTCCCTTTGCCCCTCCCACTCGTGCTCTCTCTCTCTCTCTCTCTCAAATAAATAAGTATGTATCTAAAGTAAATATCCATGAGTCCTCATATAAATGAAAAATAAATGATAGAGAAGAGACAAATCTCCCATGCACACCATTCCAAATAGCTTATGTTCATAGTGTTTGTCTTTAAGAAGATAGAACACAACTTCCCACTTTTTTTTAAACATTGATTTTATTTATTTATTTAATTTTATTTTTTTAATATTTTTTATTTTTTTAAAGAATCTATTTATTAATGAGAGACACAGAGAGAGGCAGAGAGAGAAGCAGGCTCCACGCAGGAAGCCCAATGCGGGACTCGATCCCGGGTCTCCAGGATCACGCCCTGGGCTAAAGGCAGCCACTAAGGCACTGAGCCACCCAGGCACCCAAACTTCCCACTTCTTAATTGTAGGCTGTCCATAATTATTTCCTTCCAAAGGGAATAGTCTGGAAAGGGGGAAAATTAGTAATCTTATAGCAGAGAATCCTGACAAACACTACCTCAACCAAATAGTCAAATTTAACATTAACAGTGAAAAGTCATGTTGATATTATGTACCCTTGATGTGATATAATAGAATGACTCTTCACCTCTATGGTCTTCCTCCCCAAAACCCATAACCCCAGTATAATTATGGGGAAAATATCAGACAAATTCCAATTGAGGGACATTCTACAAAATATATCTGAGGAGTACTCCTCAAAATTGTCAAATTTACAAAAACAAGGAAAGATCTGAGAAACTGTAACGGGGCCATGTAATGGATGTGGGGCTTATGGGAACTCAACTATTTTCATAATTTTTCTGTTAATCTTAAATCACCCTAAAAGTTTATGATTTTTAAAAAGTCAACCAGCCTGGAAAAATATATTCAAAATACATATATATGACAAAGTACCTGTACCCGGAAGAGATAGAACTAATACAAATGAATTCTTAAAAGACAACCAAATTTAAAAAGATAGCCTCCAATTTTAAAAACAGCAAAAGACTTGAGACATTTCACAAGATGTAAAAATAGTCGATAAGTACATGAAAATATGCTCATCATCACTAGACATTGGGGAACTACAAATTTAAAATTCAGTACCATTTCACACCCACTGGAGGTGTTGTTTCAAGATTTCTTTTCCTTTAGTGCTCATGGTTCTTTGTTACCTCCAAGAATGAAGCGATAGGCCAAATGAAGAATGGTGGGTTGCAAAGCAAAGTTTACTGAATGATAATACAAAGCTCCCCAAGAGGGAGTTTACCTGAGAGGGTTGCCCTGGGAGTTTCTAAATCTAGAGGTTTTTATGAGAATGTTGGTGGGCTGTTTTAATCCGATTAACTCTCCACGCACCTGTCACCCAGTCAGGTTTCTGTCCATGTGCTCATCTACCTATTAGGTGATTGTTCACGTGGGAAAGGGTGGAGGGCTCCTTCCAGGGAGATGTAAAATCTTTTTAAGGGTAGTTTCCTCTCGGAGGAGGTGCTTTGTTCCTGCCTGCCTTTTTTCCACTATCCTCCATTAGAGGGGTTAAAATTACAGCGATGACTCCAAATGTTAGCAAGCATGTGGAACAACTGGGACTTTTTATACATTACTAGTGGGAGTGTAAAATGGTCCAACCATTTTGGAAAACTGCTTGTCAATTTCTTGTAAAATTAAGCTTACTGGGGATCCCTGGGTGGCGCAGCGGTTTAGCGCCTGCCTTTGGCCCAGGGCGCGATCCTGCAGACTCAGGATCGAGTCCCACGTCGGGCTCCCGGTGCATGGAGCCTGCTTCTCCCTCTGCCTGTGTCTCTGCCTCTCTCTCTCTCTTTGTGACTATCATAAATAAATAAAAATAAAATCAAAAAAAAAAAAAAAAAGGCTCTGCAAACTCCCAGCTCCCTCTCCTCCAAATCCAGGGTCCTGAGAGCAGTGGTAACGCATCAGGCACGGCGCGGACTCCTAAGCCAGTCAGGCAGGCCCATCACGCACGCCCACTCCGAGGAACAGCCATTGCTCCGCCCCTCGTCAATTGCAGACACGCCCATTCATTCCGCTCACACCCGTCCTGTGAACCGTCCGCTCACCTTTCAATCAATTCAAATATCGCAAGGAGCAAACCAATCGCAAGCCTCCTCTACGGGAAGAGGCGGGCATCTCCCCGGAAATGCTGGTTAAAACCCCTCCAATCAGAGGCTTTGTGCGGGATGTTTGAATTTTGCGGCGCTCTGGCTTGTAGGTGTGCCTGCTTCTGCGGCGGCAGCGGGCCTTCAGACCCAGAGGGTTTCTTTATTTTTAGTTCCGTTGAGGTTTTACTCCAAAAGCTGCCTCAGGTAGGTGGGTCCTGGGGAGCTGGCCCGCTTCTTTGTAGAAGGTCTGGAAGGGTCGGAGGATGGGGGCGGTGGGCTGGACGCAGCTCCGGGGAGTCTCCTCTAGGACCGGGCTACCTGTCCTTCCCGTGGCTGGTGACGCAGCCCTCCACAGGAGCAAATGTTTGTTGCCCCGACCTGTGTAGTGGTCAGCATTTCGCCACCGGGGCGTAATTAATCTTTGGGGCGGGACAGTATTTAGTAGGTCCTGGGAAGTATTGTTGCTCCCGACATTAAATTCCAGCAGCTCTTCTCAGATCCCGTGACAACTGAAAACACCCCAGTTGAGAGCTCGGCAAGCAAGACTAAGGCATTTCTATAGATTTTCAAGCTGGGAGAAAGTCCTGTAAGCCAAAGAACAGTTTAGATGCACGCGAAAAGCCATGCTGCCTGGCTTGGGATGCCAGTTTCCCCACCATTTAGCTGTGCTAACGGGAGCAGTTAATTTACCGCATCTGTATAGGGGTGGTAATACTATCTTTTAGGGTTTAGGTGATTATTAAATATTCCTTTATTGTTAGTTCTCTTTCTCCCTCTCCTTTTCTCTGCTGTATGTCATGTGTATGCTGTATTTTAAAAGAACTAATACGTTTTATTTTTCTTTAATATTTAGCAAATTAATAGACGGAGGGAGGGGCACCTGGGTGGCTCAGTGGTTGAGCGTCTGCCTTTGGCTCCGGTTGTGATCTCGGGGTTCTGGGATAGCGACCCGCATCCGGCTCCGTAAGGGGAGCCCGTTTCTCCCTCTGCCTATATCTGCCTCTCTCTGTGTGTCTCTCATAAATAAATAAAATCGTAAAAAACAAAAACAAAAAACCTTGGCGGGAGGTGACAAATCAAGTAGTAGAGGAGGATTCTTGATGAAAAGCACAGTCCTTGGGTGTCTGCTGGCTCAATCCATAGAATATGGCTAAGTGGAGGCCCAGGTGTAGATTTTACTTCAAAACAAAACAAAACACAGTCCTTTGTCACTTCCCCTGGCCTCTTGAAGGAGAATCTTATAGACATCCAGAGCATATGGATTCTCATTTTTTAGACTGTTGATTGCTTTAAATCATCTAACATTTTAATTCATTGCATTTCTTGTGTGGATTTTAGATTTTCCTTTTATCTGGAGTTGTCTAGCAGACTTTCTTAGTTATTCCTGTTGAAGAGTGTACTGTATTTATAATTTTTTAAGCTTCCTAATGCCTCTTGTTTATATTCTGGACCATAGTTTCCTGGGCTTCACTTCATCTGTCAAGCAGGTTCCTATTTAGAACTCCAAAATGCGTTTTATCTTTTGATAATCTCCTTCTCTCTCTTCAGTGTCACATACTTATTCCTTTTTAAATTTTATTTTAATGTTTTTGTTTTCAAAGTCTCTAGGTTAGGACAGGAGTTGAACTGAAATCTTATTTTTTTTTTTGAAATCTTAATTTTTTTAAATAATAAAAATCCATAGAAGTTGGTCTCTCTTTTCTCTGATAGGATGTCTTCACATTTTGTCAGTCGGCACAGAAAGGACTTAAGTGTCAACATGATTAGAACTAAAATTGCTCATAGGAAATCACTATCTCAAAAAGAAAGCAGATATAAGGAATATGAACGAAATAGACACTTTGGTTTGAAAGATGTCAACATTCCAACCTTGGAAAGTAAAATTCTTCTTGAATTAGATGAGACATCTCAAAATCTTGTTCCAGAAAAGGCCAAAGTCAAGCCAAGTAAGTAAAGATCTATTGTGACTTTAAATGCTTTGAAGAGTGAATAAAATTTGGTTTAGTACCTGAGGTTAAAAAAACCCTGAACAGAAGCGTGGAGTTTTGAAACATCATTCCAGGTAATTTGGTATTTTCTACACAACTAAATACTGTTTGTTTAAGGTAAAGGCTGTGCAAGTTCCTGGCTAAGCTAAAGCCATTCATCTGTGGAGTATTATAACACTGTATTACCTATATTGCCTAATAGGAATCCTAAAGTTCTTACTCTTGGAGCTTAGTAAGGTAACTATTGACAAGAGAAATTAATAAGGGACATTAAAAATAGAACTCATTGAAAAATCCATGAAATAAGGATGTCTTATCAATGGGAATATTTCTCAGAAGAGCAAAGAATTTGCCCAAAAGAATTTGGAGTCATTAGGAAGGAAAAAACCAATTAAAGGACAAAGGAATGATCTTGGGAAAAGATAAAAATAATGAAAGTAAGAGTGTCTTAGAAGGCAAGGGATGCTACAGACCAAAAGGAAGAGAACTAGGAAATGACTTTCACATTTTGTCAGGAATCATTGGACTCCTTTTTAGTTGCATTTATACAGCAGGCACTAGGAGCTGGATTGCAGTGAAATAAAGCAAGGATAGATGCTGAGTAAATGACAGATAGTCTTTTTAGAAGTTTTCTAGAGAATGAAATGGGATTCTAAGTTGTTTAACTGTTCACTGCTTCATTTTTATGATATCCAGGACCATTGTAATATGTGGCACTTAGAAGACACTCTACATATTCAAGTTTAATAGATTCTGTAAAAGAGTGTTGGGCTAAAAGATTTCTTCTGGATTTATCATGTTTGTGATCCTAAAGGAAAGTGAGAGAAAAGAATTAGATACAAGTGTTGCAGGGTTTTGTTTTTGTTTTTGAGATGAAGTGATCCATGCATGTTTGAGGGTCAGAGGAAATGGACTGGTAGTCAAAAAGGAAGAAAGTAAAAAGCAACATCTCTTAGTTGTTGGGAGGAAATGAAAACGGGGTCATAGACTGGTAGAGGATGGCTTCCCAGACATTTTTTGTCTGGGAAGCAGTGATGTTCTGACTTCAAGTCCTCTCCTGCCTCTACTCTTGCCCATTCAAATGCTCCATTCCTTGACCAAAATCTCAAATCAAAGTCTAACCTCGTCAGTACTATTAAAATATCTGATTTATTTTCCATTTGCAAAGGACTAGGGGTGGGAGTGAGCCTGGCATGTTCCAGAGAAAGCAAGTAGGCAAGCATGGCAAGAGAAGAATGAATAAGGGGTATCTCCCATGGCTAGAGAAGAATGAATAAGGGGTATCTCCCATCCCTGTGGAGCCCTGAAGGTACATGATACTCTCAGGTATTCTGGCTTTTACTGAGTGAAATGAGAAGCCAATAAGGGATTCGTGGGTGTTTATGTAAATCTGATTTTTGTTTTTAGAAGCATTACTTTGGCTGCTGTGTTAAGAATAGATTGTAGGGTGGCAAGCATGGCCTCAGGAAAACCAAATAGGAGACTATTGCAATAATTTAGTTGGTAGTTGATGGCTGATCAAAGTGGTAGCTTTAAAGATAAGTGGTTACATTCTGGATATACTTAAATAATTGAACCAATAGGATTTTCTAATGGATTGGATGTGGGGTTGATAAAGAAGAGTCAGGATGATTCCAAGGTTTTTGGCTTAAGCACCTGAAAGTAGGGAGTGGCCATTTACTAAAAAAGACCCAGGGAGGAACAGTTTGGGGGGCATGATAAGATTAAGAGTTCAGTTTGGGACATGTTCGATTTGAGAAACCTATAAGACATGTAAGTAGAGATGATGATAAGGTAGTTGGATATAAAAGATGAGTTCAGGCTAGAAGTCTGAGCTGAGAGATAAATTTAAGAATTGTCAGCTAATAGATGGTGTTGGAAGATACTAGACTAGATGTTATTATCCAGAGTTTTTCTGTGGAACAAGGAGAGAAGAGGGGTAAGCACTCCAAAATTTAGAGGGTGAAGACCCGAGGAGAAACTAGCAAAGAACTAAGGAGCAGTACAAACTAAACCAGGAGGACAACAAGAAGATTGTGGTATTCTGGAAACCAAGTGAAGCAAGCATATCAAGGAGGAGAGACTAACTGTATCAATGCTGCTTGTTAAGTCAAGCAATAGTAGAAGTGAGAATTTGAACTTTACCACTCTGAAGGTCATTAATCTTGATGGGTAGTTTTGATGGAGTGAAAGCCAAATTGGAAATGGGTTCAGAGAATGGCAGCACCACTCAGGAGATAGTCTTGCCCCAAAAGTTGAACTTGAGTCTAATCAAAACCTTAGATATAATTTCCAGTTTATAGAAAACATGAAGGCTAGAAGAGTGAGTTAAAAAACAACAAAACAAAACAAACAAAACAAAACAAGAAAGCAGACAAATACAGTGCAGGGCATTCTGTAGGACAACCAACTAGCTTTTTTTTTTTTTTTTTTAATAGGACCATGGCACGATAAGTAGGGTGCCAATTGTGTCACCAATGATTATAAGTGTGACAATTGATGTTTCTGGAAGGGCCTGGTTGGTCAGAGGTCTCTCTTTGGCTGGTTGTGTTTGCTCATGAGCAAATCTCTCTGTTTGCTCCAGTGTGGTGTGTAAATGTTATTTTTTATGTGTGTCATGACACGAGAAAGATTGAAATACTGGCATGGATGTGATCACCGGAGGATAAAAAGCCTAAGAAATGAGAAGCCAGAGCATTAGAGGGGTCATCAAGATTTGTACAATGATAGTGATGGAGACAGTGACAGTGAGCTAGGAGCTAAAGCCTTAAAAGAACAAGAGGAAACCTGGAGGGCCTATAGATGACAAACTGGGGTACTGGATAATGTGACCCAATGACATGAAATGTAAAGGCGGGATCTTTTAGTGAGAGGAGGAAATCACTGGGAAACAGCAATGAGGACATCTCCCCCTTTTGGGTCCAGTGATAGCGCCAGTGTGGGAGAAAAAAAACAGTCAATCATGTGAGAGGACAGCTGGGGAAACTGTCTTCAGGGAGAGCCAGGTTTCAGTTAGATCAAGTGATGAAGGGAACATTTAGAGAAGAAAAACAGAGGTTTTGTCGGTTAACCATTTCAGCATCTGTGCTTTTGCTTGTTCTGTTCTCTGGCTTATTTTTTAAAAAGCAACTTTATTGAGGTGTAATTTACATGGCATAAAAAAATCTACCCATTTTAAGTGCATACTTTTTTAGTAAATTTACTTAGTTGGGGTATCATCTTCCTAAATTATTTTTGACCCTTACCCAGTGGGCCAACATAGATTCATTCTTTGAAACCTTTTTCAGGTATTCTCTTTTCTGAGAAGCCTTTCCTGATCTTCCCAGACAGAGGTTTATTCTGATTCTCTATTGTGTGCATTCTCCAATTTGTTTCATGCTAAACCAGACTGAAAGTGTTCATTTCTCCAGGATGCTGTGAGCCCTTCAAGGGCAGAAATTCTCATACTTATTCATACTGCCTAAGCATGTCTTGCACATAGACCCTTATATTTCCCAAACCAGGTAAAACAAAGTATGTAGATGGAAACTTAAGTCAAACTAAAGAAACTGATAAGTAGCCCAAATATGGATGGGGATATTCGTTAACCTAAAACTTGGTGACTTAATACAATAAACATTTATTATTTCGCACAACTGTTGTGGGTCAGAAGTTTGGGTTCAGCTTAAGTGGGTGGTTCTGGAGTTTGCAGCCAGGATGTCTTCCAGGGACACATCTGCAGGCTTGAGTGAGACTGATGATCTGCTTCCAAGATGACTCACTGACATGACTGGCAAGCTGATGCTGGCTTTTGGCAGGAGGCCTTAAAATTTATCATGTAAACACCTCCATAGGGCCACTAGAGTCCCCTTGAGATTCTACAAGGCCACTGGCTTTCTCCAGAGCAAGTGATCCAAGACGGGCAAGGCAAACTCTTTCGTGTCTTTAATGACCGAGTCTCGGGAGCCACACTCCATCATTTCACAGTACTTTGTTGCTTATCCAGGTCAGCCCTATTCAGGGTAGGAAGAGATGACACACAGATATCATTACCAGGGGGTGAGAAGCCTTGGGGTCAGCTTGGAGGTTGGTTATCCTACAAGTTCATTAATTCAAAAGTAAGATAATACATGCCTAGTGTGTTGCAAGCAGTTAATAAATATTTGAAAAGACAAAGGCAAAAGAAATAAAAATTTTAAAAGAATAGGGGTTGAAATAGCTTGTGACTGGAGTGCTAAGGAATTAAAAGCATTTCTCAATAGCAGTTGAAGTTAGAAATTAGACTTTTGCCTAACTTTTTTCTGAAATGTTTTATACACTGTGGGTTTTTTCTGCCTAGGGTCAAAGAAAACCATTCTAGGTGATCAACGAAAGCAAATGCTCCAAAAATACAAAGAAGAAAAGCAACTTCAGAAATTGAAAGAGCAGAGAGAGAAAGCTAAGCGAGGAGTATTTAAAGTGGGTCTTTATAGACCTGATATGCCTTGTTTTCTGTTATCAAACCAGAGCACTGTGAAAGCTGAGCCAAAAAAGGTAATTTTACTATCCTAATTTGGTATCAAGGGGTAGTTCGTTTTAACCGGAATTTTCTTTAAGAGGTTAAATAACTAGAATGACCATTTCCCTGTAATCTCTATATTCATTTTACTACTTGGTAGGAGGTGGGAATGACATAATAGCAGCTCAGAAGATGAAAATCAGATCTCTTGATGTACTTTATAGGTTTTTGAGATAGGAAAAACAGTGGGCAGAAGTCAGGTTCCTGGTTGAATGAGGAGGACTGATCTGAGTGCCTAGAGCACTGAAACAGGATGAAAGGAGGAACGATTGAAAAATATTTTGGTCACTGAGTCAAAGAGAATGAAGTTTGAACGGGGGCAGTGGGATTTGTAAATTAGGTAGTCACTGGTGATTATTTTAAAGATATGTATAAAAGATCTTAGACTGTATACTCATTCCTGATTTAAATATGAATTGAGTAATACAAAGGCCTATTGAATATTGCACATTTTAGAGTAGGGAGAGATTATTTATGTTTGGAGGAATATCAAAGAAGACTTTTTGGAAGGGGTTAGATTTTCGAGATATACAGGTTACCAATCATTGGTCTAAACTATAGACAACTATTTAAAAATGTTAAAAATATATGTGGGTGATGGGCACTGGTTCTTACATGTTGGCAAATTGAATTTAAATTAAAAAAATACGTAGTGAGAAACAAATGAACAAAGGAAAAAAAGCGAGACAAACCGAGAAACAGACTATTATCTCTAGAGAACAAACTGATGGTTACCCGATGGGAGGTCGGTAGGGGTAGGTGAGATAGGTGATGGGGATTAAGGAATACACTTGTGATGAGTACTGGGTGATGTATGTAATTGTTGAATCACTGTATTATACACCTGAAACTAATATAACACTATATGTTAACTATGCTGGAATTAAGAATAAAATAAATATTATATGTATGTATAAGGGGAACAAGAGACCCATCATGGTGTTAAATAATAAAATTCACTAATTGTTTTTATTTATTTAGATAGCCATTGTTGAATTCTGCTCATCCTGCAGTCTAGAGAAAAGACTAATTTCTTTAGGATTAGATTTTCATGGAGATTTGGAGAAGAAAATGCCTTCTCCTTTAGGGGAGAAATCTGATTATGCTTCTAAGAAATTTTACAGAATTGATAAATATCATTTTTAAATCAGTCTCATGCTAGATTTTTTCCACATTTTGTGATCAGGTCTCCATTTTCTCATTGACAGTGGAGAAATGCATAATCATGAGACTTGAAGGCAAACTGTCAAAGCTTGGAGAGTAAGCTATACAGTATTTTTTCATTAAACTGAAAACAGAAGATCCTAATCTATACGCCCCCCCCCTTTTTTTTTTGAAATGAGATCTCTTACCAGGAGACCCTTTTTTAATTTATTCAGAGGCAGAGAGAGAGGCAGGCAGAGAGGCAGAGACACAGGCAGAGGGAGAAGCAGGCTCCATGCAGGGAGCCCGATGTGGGACTTGATCCCGGGTCTCCAGGATCACACCCCAGGCTGCAGGCGGCGCTAAACCGCTGCACCACCGGGGCTGCCCTCTATACCCCTTTTGAATATGTCCAGCTGTCATATTAATGATGATTCAAATACCTGGAAAATATGGTTTGAAATTTCTTTCTTCACCTCACTGAGAAATGTTTTGAAGCTACTAATGTAAATGTAATTTAAGTTAAGCCAGAACCAGAAAACAAGAATTCAAGTTGGCAAGTATCTTTTTGCCATAAATGATTAAGGATAAAATATAACTTTAAAATGAGAACTTTGGGCAGCCCAGGTGGTTCAGCGGTTTAGCGCCGCCTTCAGGCCAGGGCTAGATCCTGGGGACCCGGGATTGAGTCCCACATTGGGCTCCCTGCATGGAGCCTGCTTCTCCCTCTGCCTGTGTCTCTGCCTCTCTCTCTCTCATGAATAAATAAATAAAATATTTTAAAAAGGGGGGGGGATTTATTTCAGAAAAAGACATGAAATTAAACTTTTGTCAATTCATTTTTTGTAACTTTATTTTCTTTGACTGTTTTAAGGCTGTTTCATCTTTTGTACGGATTACAAGGTCAAAGGCCAAAGACCAAATGGAGCATACTAAGGTATAGTTAATATTAGATAATTGTTACTGAGATGACAAACTGTACTTTTTTTCCTAGGGTAAATTCATTTTTAATCTAATACCAGCTTTAAGCATAGTGATTAATTTGCTAGAGTTAATAGTACCAGAATCAGTATTATTGGTATGCTGACATAAAACCATCTTGGTTAGATACTAAGGAAATATTCACCTAAAATATCTTTGCCCAACATCCCTTATGAGATGTATGCCAAACTTTGTGTCATACTCTTGTTTACTGGGCTTCTGCTATGCTTTCTGTGTCATCACAAAATGTAGATAAGGATATAAAGCATATAGGGTGCTTTATTTATGGGTCTTCAAAATACCCCATATGATTAAAATTATTAGGAAGATTACTAAAATAAAGTGATGTGAACTAGGAGGAAAATAGTATCCCTCTTCATCAGGTGAGGGAGCTGAATTTCACATATTCAATAAAGTTTGTGTCCCTCCCATGTTTCTCTCTAGGGTATAGTAGTGAACAAAATAAAAATATGTTAGATGGTCGTAAGTATTATAGGGGAGGAAAAAAAGAGTGAAGGGAGAAGGGGTGTAGTGGAGTAGGTGGAATTTTGATTGGGGTTGTCAAACAGGGCCTTGCTGAGATGGTGGCATCTTGAGTGAAGTGAGTGAACTACTAAAAAGAGCTTTCTATCCAGGAAAAGAGGTCTCTAGACATAATTCAAAGGTCTGGAAGTAGAAACATGCTTGGTATGTGTAAGGATTCTCAAATTATAGTCACCTATTTTTAAGAGCTTAGGTTATCAGCATTTTCTAAAGTCTAGGATTCTAAAGCAGCTTAAGGCAGTTTATATAATGGAAAACTTCTTTCTTCATCTCATTTTATTTGGAGAAGTAGATTTTTTGCCAGGTCATTTACAATAGTCAGATTTCAGATGGGTCAATTTATAGATAAAAATGTAGAATTTGAGTGCTTGCTTTGGCAGCATATATATTAAAATTGGAATGATACAGAGAAGATTAGCATGGCCCCTACACAAGGATACCATGCAGAGTCATGAAGTGTTCCACATCCTCCTTGCCCTCTATCCCTGCCTCAGCTTTGTGTTGTGTTTGTGGTTCTATTGCCCCTCTTTTATCCGTTGCTATTTTTGTGATGACTCCCCACCTCCCATCTCCACCTTTTCTAAGTGGCTCCTGGGGGAAGGGGTCTGCTCATTCCTTCTCTCCCTCTCACTCCACCACAGCTTGGAAGAAAGTAGGGGTGGCAGAAATATGGTAGTGGGAGTCTTTGTACCTTGAATGAATAAAATGACTTGAAAACTGCTCCCCCGAGTGGCGATTTGATGCAGTATGCAATTAAATCACATACCACCTAATCTTTTATATAGATTAATAATGGAAGTGATGTTCGAGCAATCCAACCTGGTCAAAGACAAACTTCTGAAAGAAAAGTATTGGACAAAGAGGAAAAAGGTAGGAATTTAGCCATTATTATAAAGTATATTCATTATAAGCTCTGGTGTTGCCACAACAGTAATTTAATAATTACAAAAAGCATTTGATTTGATTCTTTCTTTCACAGTTGTACAGCCTGTAATGACCACATCAGTGAGACTGACTCGATCAGCCACTCAAGCAGCAAAGCAGATTGCCAGAACAGTCTCATCTACTACAGCAGGAAAGCCAATCATAAGAGCTACTAATGGTAAAAATTATTTCTTGACCAGTGACTGATCTAGAATGTTTTGGTCTTTGAGGTTGTGTTCAATATTAAAAATCATCACGTATGACTCTGAGCAAGAAACAAGGAAATGGGAGATTCCAGTTCCTAGGGGTAGATTCCATGCCTCAACATCCAGTTAGCACACAGTGGATGCTCAAAGGTGGAAGTACCTGAATTGGTGTGAGGAGCACTTCAAAGAGAAAAATTAATCACCCAAATAAATTACAGCCCATCCAGCCATCCATTTGGTGGAATACAATGTAAACATTTCAGAAAAATGTTGTAAAAGCACATGATGTATTGAGCAAAGAATAACAGATCAAATTCTGAACAGTATGTTCACAATCCTAAAATATGTATATGAATATGTGAACATAGAATAAAACTGGAGGGGTGCCTGGGTGGCTCAGTGGTTGAGTGTCTGCCTTTAGCTCAGGTAGTGATCCCAGGGTCCTGGGATCGAGTTCCACCTCAGGCTCCCCACAGGGAGCTTGCTTCTCCCTCTGGCTATGTCTCTGCCTCTGTGTGTCTCATGAATAAATACATAAAATCTTTAAAAAGAATGAATAAAACTGGAAAAACATACTCTAAAGTGTCAATAGTAATTGTTACTGAGTAATGTGATCTCGGATTATTTTTAAAGATTTGGTCATTTTTGTGCTCTACTTTATTTTCCTAATTTTCTGTATCTGATAACCAGAGGCAAAAAGTAAAATACCTTAACATCGTGCTTTTGTTTTGAAAACAGATGGCTTATACTTGGCAGGAAATTTCATGTTTTTATAATATGACTTTTAATCAAAAAATGCTTTAAGATATACATTCCTATTTTTGCCTTTTTTCCTTTTCCAAATTACCTTGTACCTGTAAAGCAGCATTTTCTATCTAGTCAAAATGATCATCTTATTTCATTTTTTAGATCATGAAATGGAAAGACAGAGACCAAATCAAAGAAGACCTACCAAAAAGACAGAAACAAAACCTGATAAGGTAGAGTATAAACATCTATTTCTGGACACTTTGAAAATCTCATTGCTACTTTCATAAAGTTGAAATTAAGCGTAATACAGAACTACTTCAAGAGGGTTAAGCTACATATGTGTTAAAACCCCTTGAGCCATAAAGAAGCATCAAGAAGATTTATTGTTGTTGTTGTCTTTCAGGTATTATATCCTCAGAGCTTTATAGCTAGAGAAAGCATAATTTGGTTAACGAGAGATAGAGAAATACAATAACACAGCCAACAGGAGTCTTCACATGGGAATTTACTTAAGAGATAAGATGGAGTAGGGCAAAATGTATTGACTTTGGATTCATTTAGGCATGAATTATCTGCTTCCAGTTAGCCAGATAACCTTGGGCAAGTTGTAAGTTTGTTTTCCTATCTCTAACCTGCAATACTTAAAGTAGTTTTAAGAATGAAATAACCGGGCAGCCCTGGTGGCGCAGTGGTTTGGTGCTGCCTGCAGCCAGGTGTGATCCTGAAGACCTGGGATCGAGTCCCACATCAGGCTTCCTGTATGGAGCCTGCTTCTCCCTCTGCCTGTGTCTCTGCCCCTCTCTCCCTCTGTCTCTATGAATAAATAAAATCTTAAAAAAAAAAAAAAAAAAAAGAATGAAATAACTTAGGGGAGCCTGGGTGGCGCAGTGAGCTAAGCATCTGACTCTTGGTTTCAGCTGAGGTCATGCTCTCAGGGTCCTGGGATTGAGCCCCCACATCAGGCTTCACACTCAACATGGAGTCTGCTTGAGATTCTCTCTCACCCTCTGCCCCTCGTGCTCATGCTGTCTCTCTCTCAAATAAATAAAATCTTTTTTTAAAAAAAGTATGAAATAACCTAACATTTCTAATGGCATTTAGCATAGGGCCTAGTAGAGTCTTTAAAAAAAAGTCACCAATTTGAGGGTCCAATTCCTTGGCTTATGATTCATATTATAATTCCTTAACCTTAAAAATACGTTTTTCCAAAGTGTAAGAAACCTGGCTAGTTCTTACTAAAAATCAAACCAATCTCCTCCAAGGAAGGCAATATAGGATAAATCGTCATAAGCAAGCAGCTGGCTCTCATAGTTCGTCCCTTAAGATTGATTTCCTCCTTAAGGATTAATGCTAGATTTTTACTTTCCCTGCTATGTTGGCCTCAGGGACAGTGTCACCCTTAAATTCTTGTCCAGGTTGAAATACTCTGGTTTCTGTTTATATCTCATTGAAAATCCAAAACAGAGACTTCTAAGAATTACGTGTAAATGAGTGTGTGAGGGCAGTCCCGGTGGTTCAGCAGTTTAGCGCCCCCTTCAGTCCAGGGCTTGATCCTGGAGACCCGGGATGGAGTCCCACGTGGGGCTCACTGCATGGAGCCTGCTTGTCCCTCTGTTTGTGTCTCTGCCTCTCTCTCTCTCTGTCTCTCTCATGAATAAATAAATAGAATCTTAAATAAATGAATGAATGAATGTGTGAAATGGCTATGGGGAGCCAACAGGTACCAACTTCCAATTACAAAATAAATAAGTCCTGGGGCTGTAATATATCACATAGTGACTATAATTAACAATACTGTATTGCATATTTGAAAGTTGCTAAAAGAGTAGATCTTAAAAGTTCTCATCACAAGAAAAAAATCCTATTTATATGGTGATGGTTGTTAACTAGACTTATTGTGATCATTTCACAATATATACAAATACTGAATCATGTTATACACTTAAAACTAATGTTATATGTTAATTATATCGCAAGTGAAAAAAAAACAAGTAATTAAATTGACTTGAAGAGAAAATATGCTTCACTTTTCACTAACATTGAAAAATAATTTTGTTCATATGGTGGTTATTTATAATAATCCAAGATTATGGGCAGCCCCGGTGGATCAGTGGTGTAGTGCCGCCTTTGGCTTGGGGTGTGATCCTGGAGACCCGGGATCGAGTCCCTCATTGGGCTCCCTGCATGCATGGAGCCTGCTTCTCCCTCTGCCTGTGTCTCTGCCTTTCTCTTTCTCTTTGTCTGTCATGAATAAATAAATAAAATCTTTAAAAAAAAAAGAAATGTTTTAATAATCCAAGATTATTTACAAAAAGGATTTCGGACATGACAGTAGTGGTATCTAATAAACATTGGATTTCTGATTCTGAAACTATTGTAATTATCAGCATAATCTAAAAAGAGATCTGTATTAGGTGAGTAAATTTTTCCACCTTAGTTTTTTCTTCTTTTTTTTTTTCTTTAAAGACTTTATTTATTTATTCATGAAAGACACAGAGAGAGAGAGGGAGAGGCAGAGACACAGGCAGAGGGAGATGCAGGGAACCTGACGTGGGACTCCATCCTGGGACTCCAGGATCACGCCCTAGGCCGAAGGCAGACACTGAACCACTGAGCCACCCAGGTGTCCCTCCACCTTAGTTTTCATGTATCTTAATTTGTTGTAACACCTAAAACATGTTACTTATTCCTGTGAGGATTGGTTCTCTCTCCTGGATCATAGCAATGATTTAGTGTAGCTGGTCTTCTAGTTCCTTGTATACATTTCATTGTATTTGATTTTGTCCCTTTATGTACATGGGACATATATATCAACTTCCACATTTTCAGGCCTGTAAAAATTGGTCGAATATATCCCCAGAAAAGGAATTCTCACTCTATTCTGTTTATTCATGACTAGGTCGTTTCTTTTAAAGTCGATAGTGAAGATAATACTTTGGATTTACAAATCAGTGCAACAAATGGAATGGATCCAGATGGAGTCTTACCAAAAATGGAGAATTTACCTAAGAATACTGCAAAAACAAAAGGGAAGAATTCCTTTGCACCTCAAGATTTTGTGTTTCAGCCACTGGATGGTCTGAAGACCTATCAAGTAAAACCTATGACTCCCAGAAGTGCCAATGCTTTCTTGACACCCAGTTATACCTGGACCCCTTTAAAAACAGAAGTGTAAGAATATAATGTTAATAATGAATTCCTTGCTAAGATGAGTAACAAATATCTTTCTTAGATTTGGCTTGTGTTTTTTAAAGTTCTTATTTATTTAATTTAACTACAAATCATGAAAATTTAGTTTTTAAAAAAAAATTCAGAAGGCTGCAATAATCCATCTGACAGTTTTGATAGTTCCTGTGCGTTGTTATTAACATTATTTTCATAGTACAATTTGTGTTATATTGCTTTTAGTAAGTGACTTTATTGTAACACTTAGAAATAAATTTTTAGAAAGAAATTGCTATAATACTGTAGCTCAGATATGGGTGTTTGTGGTTTTTTTGCTGAGTATTTAGAAAAATTACCTCTAAAGGCAAAAATGATTAACTTGCAAAGTAGAGGGAGGAGTGTATGGGTAGGGATCATATGGAATCTTTAAAAGGCAAGATTCTTTTGCAGACTGGCTGTGGCAAATTTACTAGAAACTGTTCAGCAACAGCAAGACTATTAAGTGTTTATTCCATTAAGAGATCGTCAAAATCTTTAGATCACATGAACGATTAATAAAGATGGACATCCCCACTGCATAGGTGCTTACATTTTTCTGCTCCAGCATAGATATGTTGTTTTTAAAATGGACATATTTCTAGGGCACTGACTGGCTCACTCAGAAGAGCATGCAACTCTTGATCTTGGGGTCATGAGTTCGAGCCCCACATTGGTATAGAGATTAAATTTAAAAATAATAAAATTTCTGTTTTATCCCAGATTTTTAAAAAACAATGTAATTTTGAAATCCTTCAGTTATATGTATAGGGTTCATACTTCATGAAGTATATTTTTTGCTATTGTTTTTAGTGATAAGACTCAAGAAGTGACAAAAGAAATTTTGACCCAAGAATGTAAAACTTACTCTGCAAAGATGATACATCAAGATTCAGATAAACTACAATGTCCTTTGGGTTCTTTAACAGTTTGGAATAAAGGTATGGTATTTTAATTAAATTTTTACTTGCCTTCTGGATTGTGATTTATCAGAGTTTTGTTCACAGCCCCACAGGGTCAGAAGAGATGGGAAACCTGGGGAAAGATATCTGGACAGAGTTGGAATGAGGAATGCAGACTGAAAAAAGACAGGAAATAAATGTAAATTGGAAGAGATTAAATTATTGAAACACTTTAGAGGAGATGTGGTGAATGAAATCATTGAAGCAGAAATAAAATGTTAAATTCAACAATGAAAGAATGGAAGGATTTTTAAAATTTGTCTTTTGTAGGGGATGTCATTTTAAAAATTGCTGCTTTGAAAGTTATATGTGGTGTTTTCTTTGTAGAACATGTCTTAAATAAAGATGAGACTACTACTAAAAATTCAAATGGCCTTACAATAAAAGAAGTCCCATCACTTGAAATAATTGAAGATCAGATATCTCAGCCCCACCATGATGTGCTGTATTTCAGGTTTGTCCATTTGTTCCTAGTGTAAGATTTTGTATTAATGTGTAGATATTTAAAACCAAAGTTAAACTATTTTAACCTTAATATAATAGATGAATTAGACTCTGGGTGATTTTTTAAAAATTTAATTATTTTTCAGTAGCTAGTACTTTCATTTATGTGGTTTCTAATTTGAAAGATAGAAAAAGGTACAAGTAAGAAGCCCTTTCTCAATTGTCTCCCAGCCCCAAAGTTCAAACCTTCCATGGAGGCAAGTGTTAATTCATGTTTTATGAAAAAACTTTCAGAGAGATAGATAACATGTAGACAAACATATTTTTTTTCTTTTTTTATACAAACAGTAGCTCACTATTCTGTTTTCATTTAATGTTCAATGTGGGAGACATTCCATTTTAATACTTAGAGCTTTTTCATGTTTTTTTTGTTTATGTGTGGGTATGTGGGTGTGGGTGTGTTTAGTGACCATATAGTATCCAATTATGTGGATGTGCCACAATTTATTTAGTAGTAAATTGCTGTTGCTGGCTATCTACATTGAGTTTGGTCTTTTACTAACTCACTCAAGACTGCAAAGAACAACCTTGTGTACTTTCCAGTTGTCTCATGTGAAAATATGTAATGGCCTCAATTTACATTCCCTTCAACAAGGTATAGGGAGTTTCTGTTTCCTCATACCTTTTTTTCCCCCCAGAAAGAAACCAAATTAACCTTTATTTTACAAGGAAGTATAGTGGAAGATGGTAGGAGCTCTTTGGCCTACTTAATCATGAGATAGGATTACTTTTCTCTAATGGTGAAGAGTGAAAATTAACATCCTGTTTGGGGAACTTCAACCATGTCACCTAAGGCCTTGGAAACAAATCAGAGGACTGTATTTGGAGAAAGGTCCCAACATTCCATATCACATAGGAAATAATTACATGCTGCTATTCTTTTTTTTTTTTTTAAGCTTTTTATTGTGGAAAATTTAAAACATATATGAAAGTGCAGGGACTTATACACTGAACCCCCATATACCCATCATTCATGGTCAATCTCATTTCATATTTATTCCCATATACTTCTGACTCAGGATATTTTAAGAAAATCCCAGGTAATCATATCACTTCATCCATAAGTATTTCTGTAGGTATTTTTCAAAGTTAGACTCCTATTAACCATAATACTTAATGTTAACATAATCATAATAATTAATGTCATAAAATATCCAGTCAGTATTCACATTTTCCAAATTATAGTCCACGTGCAGGCATGCACACATACACGTTTATGTACATTTTGTTTATTTTTGAGAGAGAGAAAGAGTGTGTGTGAGCAGGAGACAGAGGGAAAGAGAGAATCCACACTGGATGCCTCAGTCAGGGCTCATGTCACAACCCTGAGATCATGACCTGAGCCAAAATCAAGAGTTGGACGCTTAACTGACTGAGCCACCCAGGTTCCCCCATGCTATTATTTTTGAGTGAATGTATTAAGAACATTCTCATACCTTTTCCAATACAATGTTAACATTTTTTTTTTGAGCTTTGCCAATAAAGTAGATAAGAAATACTATCTTGCCTATAGTCTTAATATTTATTGTATTATGAACAAGTATCTTTATATGTTTGAAAGCCACTTCAATTATTTTTAAAGCATGAAATTTTAGAATTGTAAAAGATTTTAGAGATTAGCTAATCTGTTATGTTCTCAACTATGAGACATTGCGATAATAAGCAATTTACCCAAATAAATAATGTCAGATCTAAACCAGGTCTCATTTCTCATAACTTAAGTCATCCTCTGTCATGCCACTAGATATAAAAAGCTAAAATTTTCTTCTAAGAAACAATTATCCTGTTTCTCCTATGAGGATGCTTTCTCTAAAGAAACAAATTACGTTTACTTTGGGCCAGCATTTCTTAACCTTGGCGCTATTGACCTCTTAGACAAAGTAATTGTGTGGACCATCCTTCTGCATTGTAGGTTGTTTGGTAACATCCCTGGCCAGTAGCACTCCTCTAGTTCATGACACAGAAATGTCTCTAGACATTGTCAAATGTGTCCTAGGGAACAAAATTAGACCTCTGTTGAGAACCATTGCCTTTGGAGTGACAAGCAAAGCCTAATAATTATAGAGAATCTGTAAGGCTCTGTCACTGTAATTCCATAGTCAGAGTTTTTAGCTTCAAACTTACTCTTGAGAGTTGAGTTGATGTTAGTTCCATGGACTAGAGCAGAACTAATAACAAGAGAAGTAGGGAATATCTGATTCTGTAAAGTCTCTAAAAAATAAGAATGGAAGAAATTGGAAATATTAGCATGAAAAGTGGGCTCTTGGTATTAGTTATTTGTGTAAGTTTTAGATGTAAAAAGAGAAACATAGGGTATTGACTTGTATTTATGGCTTTTAATGAATCACCGTACATAAAATCAGCATCAGCTCTAAAAAATTAACATTGTACCTAGCTTTTATACCTTCCTAATATTATTTGTGTCATAATGCTAATACTTAGATATTAGTATTAGAAGCATTTGTAAAACTGAAATGTATGTCATAATTTTAGAAATATTCTTCAGTTAGAAACTGAGAAATTAACTTCGCACTGCCTTGAGTGGGACAGGAAGCTTGAATTGGACATTCCAGATGATGGTGAGGGAACATTTATATTTTTTGTTTTAGTTTTGGTTTTTAAAATATGGTTATAGTTATATTTATCTAAAACATAAAGATCTAGAATTGTCCAACTGAATGGTTACATTGTTATTTAAAGCAGCAAGAATTTTTCATATCTCAACATACGTTTGCTAGTATCTCTGTGCTAAGATGGCACATGACCTAAAAGTTTAAGTAATTAGAATATTGATTGTTTTTCCTGAAAATTAGACATTTGCCTATTATTAAATTGACATGAGTGACATCTGTAACTGGTATTATCTAATTAAACAAAAATATTTTTCTGAATGAATATTACCTGAATCAATATGGAACGGATTTTCAGAAAAGTTCCTTAATCTTTCTTATCTGAGAAGCTGTTTAGAAAAGAATCATTTGTGTATTGTCAATGTGAAGTCCTTTGTAGATACTGATGTGTGATGAGTTGTTTGCTGTTGAAATCTTATTAAACACAAGGAGAGGTAAAATGCTGCTGTTTGTGTAGCAATATGTATGAGAATGAATAATGCTAATTTTTAGCAGGAATTAAAGCAGATAGTGAAAGCTCGATGTTTGTAAAACAAAATTTTGTAATGGTATTTTTTTTGTTTTGTATTAAGGTAAGAATTTGATTCTTTAAGCCCTAGGATATTTATGGTGAGGTCTTCTTATCAGCTGGGGGCTGGCAATCCAGTTTTGTCCTTTAACTTTTAAAAACCTCATATTTCCTTTAGCTAAAGATCTTATTCGTACAGCTGTTGGGCAAACAAGACTCCTTATGAAAGAAAGGTTCAAGCAGTTTGAAGGGCTGGTGGACAATTGTGAATATAAGCGCGGTGAAAAGGAGACTACCTGTACAGATCTGGATGGATTTTGGGATATGGTTAGTTTTCAGGTATGTGGTCAAGCATTTTCAGTGTATTCACTCTGAGATAGTCTTTTTGAAAATGAAGTTAACAAAAATAAACTATGAATAATGGAAGCTGATTTTTAGGTACTTGTAATACTAAACGAGATATTAGATATTCTAAACTGTAAAGCACTATCTAAATTTTAAAGACTTTTTTTTTTTCTTTAAGATTTTATTTATTTTTTCATGAGAGACAGAGAAAGAGGCAGAGACATAGGCAGAGGGAGAAGCAGAGTCCATGCAGGAAGCCCAATGCGGGACTCGATGCCGGGAACTCCAGGATCATGCCCCAAGCCGAAGGCAGACATCTAACCTCTGAGACACCCAGGCGTCCCTGATTTATTTATTTTAGAGAGAGAGCATGGCGGGGGGTGGCGGGGGGGCATGGGTAGAGGGAGAAGAATCTCAAGCAGACTCCTCACTGAGCATGGACCCTGTCATGGGGCTTGATCTCACAACCCTGAGATCATGACCTGAGCCGAAGAGTTGGACGCTTAACCGACTGAGTCACTCAGGTGCCCCCAGCACTGTCTAAATTTTATAACTGATGTCCACTTCTTCTCCACTTCAGGATGATTTCTATATGGTTTGGAAATTGAGATTATATTCAACTGTTGCATAGACTATAATGACTCTACATTTGAGAAAAATGAACAAAGTTAGTCTTTACTAGTTCAGATCATCTAGCAGTTACTGAGTTCTTACTATGTGCCTGGCATTGTACCAGAAATTTAAAACTAAGGCACATTCTCTCTCCCAGAGAAGTTCGTAGCTTATTAGTGAGTCAGACACAACATATAATTCTACTCTAATGTACAAAGTGCTATGATAGAGGGAATCACTAGGGAGATCAAAAAAGGTATGGGAGGAGATGATACTTGTACCTTTTTGACCTTATTTTAGAGATGAACATATAAAATACTTACAAAGGAACCAGTAGCCAATAATCATTAGATGTTTGAGGAAAGCCTTAAACCTGGGAGAGGTGGAGGGAGACAAAGAAGTCAAAGCAAACCCGGGAAGAAAGCTTTTTGGATGGAGGAAATGAGGATAATAAAAGAGAAAAGAACTTTTATTTATTTTTTTTTTAAAGATTTTATTTATTCATGAAAGACGCAGAGACATGTGAGACTCAATCCCAGAGCTCCCGAATCACACCCTGAGCTGAAGGCAGATGCTCAACCGCTGAGCCACACAAGCATCCCAAGAACTATTAATGTGAGTGTTAATATTCTCAAAGAGACTCCAGTGTTAATTTCTCATCTGCCAAATAAGAACAGCTATTAAGAAAAGAACTGTTCGAGACCAACAAAAAAATACTCTTTGAAGATAAAAACTATGAGATTAGAAATACAAGGTTCAATAGAAACGTAGATTGTAAAGTTAAGATCTTCCATAATATGGGGGAGATGTAAAATAGGAGAGACTGAATAAGCTAAGAAACAGATAAGAAGATAAAGTGGACCAGCCTAGAAGGTATAACATCCAAATAATAGGAATTCCAGAAAAAGAGAATAGAAAAGATAATGAAGAGGAATTGATCAATGAAATAGTTTAAATTTTCCCCCGGAACTGGAGGTCCAGATTCGAAGGAGCCCATTGAGTGCCCAGCTTTATGGGTCAGAGTAGACCCACAGCAATGCACATGATTAAATATGATTGTACTACTTTGGGGATGAAGAGAAAAATCTAGGGACGCCTGGGTGGCTCAGTGGTTGAGCGTCTGCCTTTGGCTCAGGGTGTGATCCCGGGGTCCTGGGATTGAGTCCCACCTTGGGCTCCCTGCATGGAGCCTGCTTCTGCCTCTGCCTGTGTCTCTGCCTCTCTCTTGTGTGTCTCTCATGAATAAATAAATAGAATCTTTAAAAAAAAAAAAAAGGAAAAGAAAAGAAAAATCTAGAAGCTTCCAGGGTGAAAAAACAAGTTTTACACAAAAGGTCAAGAATCAAAATAGCCTTGGATTTCTCAACAGAAACACTGAAAGCTGAGAGAAAAATGCCCTCAAATTTCTGAGGGAAAATAACTTCCAACCTGGAGGCTTGTACCCAGCCAATTACATGTGAGAGTGAAAAGGCACTCTTTAGACACCCAAAGTCTCAAATTTTACCTCCCAAGTTTTCTTTCTTAGGAAACCAAGTAAGAATGTATCTCATAAAAGTAAAGGAATAAACCAAGAATCAGGTGGAGGTGGGACTGATCCTCAAGAGTGGGCTAAGGGAGTTGGGGCTGAGGAGACGTGACGTGAGGTGAGGTGTGCAGGTAGGAAGCAGTAGTTGAGATTGGAGCAGGAGGATGCATTGCTCTGTGAGATTGGTCTCTGCAAAGCTTAGCTAAATACACTACCTGCTTTGTTTTCTCTTTAAATTGTGTTTAATAGATGTATGCAGACTTTAGAGATGAATTGATGATAGATACATAAAAACTAAGCAAATGAAAAGCAAAAACAATGATTCAGTAAAGAAGAAGTGAAGAAAACAATTTCCATTCCTATACAGCCCAGATGTGATTAGTGTTTAGGTAGTCATGATGATATAAGTGTTGATTTATGACTGGTTTTCTTGTATATTTACCAGTTTTCATAATAATGAGTTGGCTCACTACCATCTTTCAGTAGTGACCAATTAATTTTGTGTTTTTTAGTAGTAGTAATTGATAGATTTGAAGGTTTTTGATGTGTTTGTATTGTTTACATTTATCATCTATTGATATTCATTTCCCAACTTTGGCTGATAGGAGCCTCTTCAAGTTGGCTCCTGGAAGCTCTTTTTTTCCTTCTTTTTTTTCTTTAAGAGCTGTTTGAGATTTAATCTAATACCTAATTAGAATATTTTCAGCATAAAAACATCTTGCCTATGTGCAAGTCAATCCCCATGCCCACTCCAGCCCCAAGCAACTGACTGTGGATTTGCCTTTTCTGGACATTTCATATTAGATAGAATAATATAATATGTCATCTTTTGTATGTGGCTTCTTTCACTTAGAATGATGTTTTCCAGTTTCCTCCAGGTTGTAGCATTTATCTGTATCTTGTTGCTTTTCTTTGCTGAGCAGTATTTCATCATATAAATACATCACTCTCTAGTCACCAGTTGAGGGACACTTGAATTGTTTCCACTTTAGTGATTATGAATAGTCTTCCATGAATATTCACATACAAATCTTAGTGTGGACATTTGTTTTCATTACTCTTAGGGTATATATCTCGATATTGCTGGGACATATAGTAAATTGATATTTAACTTTTTAAGAAACTGCCAAGCTATTTTCCAAAGTGATTGTAACGTTTTACTTTCCCATCAACAATGTACTAGTTTTCCTATGACTCCACACCCTCACCAGTACTTGTTATTGTCTGTCTTAGGGAGCCATCCTAGTGGGTGCAAAAATGTTTGCTAAAGTAGTTTTGATTTGTGTTTCTCTAGTGAACAGTAATGTTAATGATCTTTTCATGTGGTATTAGCCATTTATATGTCTTCTTTGGTGAAATTTCTGTTTAAATCTTTTGGCCATTTTTAAATTGGTTTTGTCTTTTTATTATTAAGTTGTAAGTGTTCTTTATTCTGGATACAGGTCTTTTATCAAAAACATTATTTGCAAATATTTTTTTCCCAGTTTGTGGCTTGTCTTAATTTTCTGAATGGTGTCTTCTAAAGTATAAACGTTTTTAATTTTGATGGTGTTCAGTTTATCAATTTTTTTTCTTCTCTATTATGACTTGGCATCATGTCTAGGAATTCTTTTTTGCCTGATGTCAGCTCACAAAGATTTTCCTATGTTTTCTTCTAAAAGTGTTGTAGTTGCACAGTTAGGTATCTGATTTATTTGGAGTTCATTTTTTTGTGTATGATATAGATAAGAGTCTAAGAGTTCATCTTTTCTCTTGTGGATATCCAATTTTCCCAGCACTGTTGTTGAAAAGACTTTCATTTCCTTGTTGTATTACATTGACACATTTGTTGAACATCAGTTGGTCGTAAGTGTAATCCTGAATCTTTTTGGAATTTACATTTTTTTCAGGAGAGAGGAACTGAGAGTACATATATGTATAAATTCATAATAGGGGGATGTGAAGCATGTTTGCTAAACTATTGACAGTGGTTACTTCTTTGGAGGAGATTTGGAAATACCAGAATGATGAGGATCATATGCTGACAACACTGACTCCATCTTTGGCCCTCTATCTTGTTTATGCCTGAACAATGACCTCTCTTGGGCTACGTGTTCTAGGTCCCGTGGAGATTAACATAAGCCCTTACTGGAATGTGGGAAGGCTTGTTCTGATCTTCCCTAAAGTGGCACACAGAAGGCTCCACTTCAGATAACTAGTAGAGATGAGGATCATACCAGGATAAGGATCATACATTCTCATCCTGCTAGTGGATATAGTACTTGAATCTTTTAAGATGACAGTGTGTCAAGAGAATGAGAAGTCAAGCCACAGACTGAGAGAAAGTATTTGCAAAAGACATTTTGTTTAAAAAGGGGGGGGGGGGGATCCCTGGGTGGTGCAGCGGTTTGGCGCCTGCCTTTGGCCCAGGGCGCCATCCTGGAGACCCGGGATCAAATCCCACATCGGGCTCCCGGTGCATGGAGCCTGCTTCTCCCTCTGCCTATGTCTCTGCCTCTCTCTCTCTCTCTCTCTGTGACTATCATAAATTAAAAAAAGGGGGGGGGGCATATTGTTCACATTGTATAATTTAGGAAACAAAAGCATCTAGTGTATCTTTCCTACATTTTAATGGTCAAAAATAAATTAGGACAGTTCTATCCTCTCTATGTAGATTCTGGAGCCTGTAAAACCAAAAATAACAGCAATTTTACTATAAGAATGCTTGATTTGAACACTAAATTGAGAATGACTTAGTCTAGTTTTATATGCCACGAGTCTAAGTCACCATTCTCAATTGTTTTTGAAGCTTCAGTTCATTAGTTTCTCATTTTAATATGGTTAGCATTAATCTGATAAACTTGTGCTTTATTTACTAACAGATAAAAGATGTAAACCAAAAATTCAGCAATTTGACCAAACTCGAGGAATCTGGATGGCAGAACAATAATAATGTAAGCAAAAAAGTCCCTCAGGTAAGTTTGTGGTTTTATATCTAAATTTCTAATATAGATTCTTCTACTTTAATGAGTTTTTACTTTTAAGCTTTAAAAACATTTAGCTTCAAATTTTTCATCTTTTTACAAATAAAGTGCCATATATCACTTAACAATGTCCCAATTGCCTTTGAAGAAAGAATAAGGAAATGGTCAACACTAAATTCAGTATTAATTCTGGACAGAAGGAGGTAGGTAGGGGCTATAATTGAATTGGGACACCCAGAGGGCTTCTAAGTTACTAAACAGTGGGTATATGCATGTTTGTTTTATACTTCAAACTGGACATATCCATTTTGTTTTAATAATAATAGTAGTAGTACATAATTTATATAATACTTTATCTGTGCCAAATATTGTTCCATGTATTTTACACGTATAAACTCATTTAATCATCACAACAGTCCTGTGAAGTCGGTTCTGTTCTCCCCATTTTACAGTTGAGAAACCTGACATCCAGAAATCGCTTGCCAAAAGTGGAGCTGGGTTTCAAGGCCAGACTTTCTCATTCCAAAATCTGTGTTCTTAATCAGGACACTATGCTTCTTCTGTGTTTTATATGCTCTTTTGAGTGATCTATTTCAATGTGAAAGAATTTTTAAATATCAAAGAGGAACAATGGCACTTTAGAGCATCTATCTTCTTCCCTATGTGTTCTCTAAATTTTCTTATTTTCTCTGTAAAATTTGCTTTGTTAACATGATAGATTACATTCTTGTCTACTTGTTGCCAGTAATGTTTTGAACTCAAAGTTTGTGACCAGATGGATGCTTCTCAAACTACCTTACAGCGTTGCCAGTTATTCTTTATATTTTAGAAGAATACCTTTGGTTGTAGAATCGGGTTTCTAAATTAACACTTTAGGGATCCCTGGGTGGCGCAGCGGTTTAGCACCTGCCTTTGGCCCAGGGCGCGATCCTGGAGACCCGGGATCGAGTCCCTCGTCGGGCTCCCGGTGCATGGAGCCTGCTTCTCCCTCTGCCTGTGTCTCTGCCTCTCTCTCTCTCTCTCTCTCTCTCTCTCTCTCTCTGTGTGTGTGTGTGACTATCATGAATAAATTTAAAAAAAATTTAAATTAGCAGTTTATTATTGTGTAATGTAATCCAAATAAAATCTGTTTTAAATCATATCGTAGGAGTTTTAAGATGGTAGAGTATTAAAAGAACCTATTACAAAGTCATTTTACTAATGAAATCTCATGACAATTGACTAAATTAAATGAATGGGTTTCAGATCTATTAACAGTAAAGAATACTGGAACATTTTGGAGCCCCTGCGGGTATCTCTTATTGAGTACCTGGTTCCGGGAATGTTAATATCCTGAGCGTTGCAGATAAGGGCTGTGTCAGTATAGCATTCTATGAGAGCCTTGTAATTCTGTCTTTGATCACCAGGTGTCTCTCTTCTCTTTCTTTATTCTACAGGCTACTGTTAAGATTATGGAACAAACTATTACCTATACTTTGCTTTTCCCTCTGACCTCTTATTCATTGATCTCTCATTCCATTAGTTAGCCTTGTTTTCTCCCTTCCTCTCTTTTACATCAGTTTTTAGACATGTTTAAGGGTCTTTGTTTCCATTAAAGAAAAAAACCACTCATGATGTTCTCAACTCCCAAGCACAGGCAAGCATCTCGAATAAGTTGTCTATTCTGTTGCTACTATTTTGGTTCTTATCTCTCCAACTTCCTGCGTTTCAGCTTCACCCCTCTCTCTGCCTCTAGAACAGTTATCACTAAGGGTATTGATTCTCTAGTTGCAGAGTTATCAGGTATGTACTTACAAAATCCAGTCCCTCTGCAGGATTAAATATGGTTGATTCCTTCCTTCTTGAAATTATGTTCTGATTTTCCTCCTGCCTCTGTGCCCATTCTTCAATCATGTTTGCAAGTTTGTTTTTCCATTTATCCCTTACATGTTTTGTGAAATTCACATTCCTAACTCAACTCTGTTTTTCCCTTCCACATTCTTCCTGTGCAGCCTTACCCATCCTGTGATGAGTCCCAAATCTTTATTTCAAACTAGACTTACTGCTAAGTTCTAGCTCTATATATCTTGAGTCCATGTACCTTAAAATCAGGATGTCCCAACTGAAGTCACCCGCACATGCATCCCTGTTTCTTGATCTAAGAGAATGATATTGACATCCCACTAGGTGTCTAAGGTAGGAACCTGGCTGTCTTCTTTAGTCCTTTCTCTGTTTCACCATCTCCACCCCCCACACATGCAGCAGATTGCTAAGTCCTCTCAATTTGCCCCTTTAAATATCTCTTGAAGCCATTCACGTTTTTCCATTTTTCCTCCTTAACCTAACTACTGTCCTCTTTTCCCAGTATCAGTGCAGTGGTGTCGTTTCTAACTGGCTTGTAACCCTCCAATCCGTTCTCTGGGCTGTAGACAGAATGACCTTTCTGAAACACAAAGCCAGTAATGTTAATCTCCTGATTAAAAATCATCGGTAAGCTCTATTCCTTTGTCCTCTGTATAAATGTAGCTCCTTAAAAACAGTTATGTGCAAGGGATTTTTTAATCTAGCTGTTGCTTATCTCCTCCCAGCTCCTCTGTGCTTTCTTTTGCTTCCGGCTTTGCAAACATGCTGTTCTCTGCACCCACTCCTTTCCTCAGCTCATCTTGAGGTTAGCTTGACTGTGATTCCAGACCAGGGGCTACTTCCTGTCAGCCTTTCTCGATGACTCTGAAGATTGATTTGGGCGATAGTCTTGTGTTCTCTTACAGCTGTTGGATTTTGTCTGAATCATGAATTTATTATTCTTAGTGTCCATATCTAGCCCTTCCTTAAGCTGGGAACTCCTTGAGGGCAGGGGACTTTGTCCTTCACCTTTTCACCCCCAGCATTTTTAGCACATATGAGGAACCTGATTAGTATATGATGAGTGTGTTAAATATTTTATGCACTCTTTAATTGTTTTTCTTATAAGATGATAATGAGTAGCTTTAAGAAGTGTCATAATTTTTCTTTGCAGAAGAAAGTTGTCTCGGGGATAGCAAGTAAACCCAAACAGGATGATGATGGAAGAATTGCAGCTAGAAATCGCCTTGCAGCCATAAAACATGCAATGAGAGAGAAGATGAAGCAGAAAGAACCTGTGGAGGCAGCGGCCTCTGTAATGCCAAAGGAAGTTGATAAAATAGTGTTTGATGCTGGATTTTTCAGAATTGAAAGTCCTATTAAATCCTTCTCAGGTTAGTTTTTCCTCTAAGACTCCTTGAGAGAAATACTCGGGTTGGACAGGAGCTCGTATGAGAGGTCACAAATAGTGTTCACATGAAGGCCTACAAACTCTCTGAGTCTGGAAAATAGACTACATGCTCATTCACAGAGGCAAGGTATGTTTTGATGCATATGATTAGATTGCTTTAAGTGTGAAGCATCTTCTAAAATGACTTTTATATTTTCTAAGTGATTTCATATCTGTTATTATGGCTTAATGCCACAATCCTGTGAGGTAGGTCCCAGGATCCCAAGAGGTAAGAGACATGATGGAAGCATGAGAAGTTAGGTGATTTTCCTCAGGTTAGTTAGTTGGATTAGAATTTAAGATGCAAAGCATCTCAGGCTACCTTAAAATAAGGCTCTTAAAAATAAAATTAAGCCATCCCCCTTCTTTTGTTGGACTTTAAAATGAAACTTACAGGGACGGGTGGCTCTGAGGTTGAGCACCTGCCTTCTGCTCAGGACGGGGTCCCCCGAGTCCTGGGATTGAGTCCTGCATCCCTCTGCCTGTGTCTCTGCCTCTCTCTCGGTGTCTCTTATGAATAAATAAAATCTTTTAAAAAGTCAATGAAGTGAAACTTACAGAAAACGGAATTTGATTTAATTTTGTATTTAGAACTTATGCTCAGATTTTATAAAAAACAGTATATGTACTAATTTCCTTTTTCTTTTTTAAAAGATTTTATTATTCATGAGAGACACAGAGAGAGAGGCAGAGACACAGGCAGAGGGAGAAGGAGACTCCATGCAGGGAGCCCAGCGTGGGACTCGATCCCGGTACTCCAGGATCACGCCCCAGGCCGAAGGCAGTGCTAAACCGCTGAGCCACTCAGGCGTCCCAATGAACTAATTTCCTAATTTAAAAATATTCCAAAATTGAACACCAATAAAAAATATGAAAATAGTAAAATTAAAATTTTAAAAATTAAAAAATAAAAATATTCCAGTGAAACTGACTTTTAATACTTCAGGAAACCTTTCTTATGATTTTCTTTCTTATGATTTCTCAATAGCTATTTTTCACAGGCTGTCTTTATTAGATTGAATTTATATATCTAGATTGAAATTACTTATTTATAAGCCACATAATGAGAGATCATAGCTGAAGTCATCTCTTTGGTAAATCTTGGTAGGCACTTCTGTCAGTGCTTTACGTGCTACATGCTTGTTTCCAAGGAAAAAGGGGCCAAATCCTCTTCAGGTACAAATCAGCTGAAGGGACTTTTTTTCCCTATTATTTAACTGTGTCCATGGGGATGTTTTCTGAGCATAAACTTGGGCTGCTATGTAATATTTACATTAAAATGTCAGTTTAGGGCAGCCCCAATGGTTCAGCGGTTTAGCACTGCCTTCAGCCTGGGGCGTGATCCTGGAGTCCCAGGATCGAGTCCCACACTGGGCTCCCTGTATGGAGCCTGCTTCTCCTTCTGCCTGTGTCTCTGCCTCTGCTCTCTCTCTCTCTCTCTCTCTCTCTCTCTCTCTCTCTCTCTCGAATAAATAAATAAATAAAATATTTTTAAAAATAAAATGTCAGTTTAGAGGCACTTGGGTGGCTCAGTGATTGAGCATCTGCCTTTGGCTCAGGTCGTGATCCCGGGGTCCTGGGATCAAGTTATTCATCAGGCTCCCCGCAGGGAGCTTGCTTCTCCCTCTGTCTCTGAAAATAAAATTTAAAAAATAAAGTGTCAATTTATCACCTGATCTAATGTCAATTTAGATATCACACCTAGTGTGGTCTGGTTTGTATCCTTTAAGCAGCTGCACTTCTTAGGACCCTAGGAATTGCCTCCTTGCTGCTAACTACCCAAGGAACTCATCACTGTGTATTCTTTCATGCACTCAACTTGGCATTTACGACTGGGGAGATTAAGGTTTATGACCCAAATCTATCTTGTTAAAATTGAGTTTTAGTTACAGAGCTCATGGTTTTGTATAAGGCTTATTACAGAAGTCCCCCAGAAAAGCCTCTCTCACTCCATTTGTCACTCCCTAGAGGCAACCACTTTTAGTTCCTGAAGGAGTCTTGAAGTCTTGAGTTATTTGACTATATATTTTTTTTTCTCAAATTGTGTAAATTTTATTTTCGTGAATTGTTCCCGTGATTCACTCTCCTCGGTTCTCTCTGATCTTTCATTCAGAAATACCTATTTTGTTTTTTTCAGGGTAATAGACTATTTTTATAATTTTTCCTGTATTTTTTTTCTACTTCCTGGATTTCCTCAACTTTCATGTTAGCTCTCGTGGTTGTTTATTATTTTTTGGTTCTGCTCTCATGGTATAAATTCCCAAGTGCTCTTTCTCCTACTCAGAATGTTCCATGTTATAACGTTCTGTTGTTGTTTGCTAAGTGCACTCTTACCTTTCTGAGGATGGTAATGATAGCTTTTATGTTTTCTTTCCCTGTCCAGTCAGTATTTGTTCTAGGATACTTGCATTTGTTTGGTTTGGGTTTCCATCTTTTGTATTAGAGGCTTTTCTTGGACATCTGGTGATCTTCACTACCTACTTGTGAAGAGCAGGTTTCTGCCCACCAGCACATGGGTCACAGAGTCTTTACTCTGGAGTGATGTAGCTGTGCTATAGTGCTAGGCACCTACATATCACTATATTTCATTCTTTTCTCAGGGGCTAGTCAGATTCCCCAGAAAGATTCTTCCAGTCTGCTACCTAGGGGTAAAAGTCTGGCTTGTCAGCCTTTTAGGAGCCAGGTAGGAGGAAAAAACTGAGCATCTCAACAGTTTGTTTCTGATCCCCTTTTTTCCATATAGTACTAATCTTTCAACCTTACCTGGTAACCCCTAGACCAGAGACCTTCTTTTTCCCCCTTTTCAGGAAATAATCTTCTAGTTTTCTGGTTTGGGTGGTGGTGGAGGCAAGGGGGCATGTTGACAGTTGCCTACCTGTGCAAAATGAGGAAAGGCCTCTATTTGTTCTTTAAACTGACTTTGAACCGATCTTCCTGCTTTTAGCTACATTTTCATCTCTGCTTCCAGACATACTTGAGGCCACCAGTTCTTTTGAGTGATGCTGTGGTATATATTGGGTTGATTCTCCTCTTCCCTGACTGGGACTAGTGGCTTAGAATTTATTTTCTTGGGTCTACTAAATAATATCCCACTCACTCATCTACATTACAATTTCCAAAGTTTTCTGGTTATTGTTGTCTCTTTTTTTTAGTTCCCTTTGTCCTTGAAATTGTATTTCAAATTTAAAAAGCTGCTGAGTAGGGGCACCTGGGTGACTCAGTCAGTTATAAGCATCTGGCTTCTGCTCAGGTCAGGGTCCCTGGATCGGGGATCAAGCCCCACATTGGGCTCCCTGCTCAGGAGTTTGCTTCTCCCTCTGTTCCTCCCCCACCCCCATCTCATTCTCTCTCTCTCTCAAATAAATAAAATCTTTAAAAAAAAAAAAGAGCTAGTGAGTAAAAGGGTTGGGGGACGACTGTATCCTTAGAAAATTCTGCCTTTTAACATGATCTCTGTTACTGCTTACAGTAGTGGGATGTTAAAAGGAAACAGAATCTAATGTGTGTGTTCAGTCCTATATTTAACTAAAAATCTCAGGCATTTGTCTTTAAAAAACATTTTATGGGGGATGCCTGGGTGGCTTAGTGGTTTAGCGTCTGCCTTCGGCTCAGGGCAGGATCACAGGATCCAGGATAGTGTCCCGCATCAGGCTCCTCATAGGGGGCCTGCTTCTCCCTCTGCCTGTGTCTCTGCCTCTCTCTCTCTCTCTCTCTCTCTATCTCTCTATCTCTCTATCTCTCTATGTCCCTCATGAATAAATAAATAAAATCTTTTTTAAAAATTTTAAAAGGGCAGCCCCAGTGGCTCAGCGGTTTAGCGCCACCTTTGGCTGGGGGGTGGGATCCTGGGGACCCGGGATCGAGTCCCATGTCGGGCTCCCTGCGTGGAGCCTGCTTCTCCCTCTGCCTGTGTTTCTGCCTCTCTCTCTCCCTCTCTCTCTTTCTGTGTGTGTGTGTGTGTCTCATGCATAAATGAATGGAATCTTTAAAAAAAAAAAAGTTAAAATAAAACATTATAAAATGTTTTAAAAATGGGAAAAAGAAACTGGTTGGTGGTAGGCTAATAGGACTTGGACTATCTTCCTGGATATAATGAAAAGTGAATGAAAGAGCTTTTTGATACGGAGATGATTTCTCTCCTCTTCTAGGACTTTCTATCTCTTCTGAATGTCTTTCTCAAAGACTTAGGACACCGAAGTCTGTCAGCAAAGCTGTGTCTGAGAGCAGGGCTGAGATGGACCATCTAAGGCAGACTATGTCACCACAGAATCCTGATCCTCAAAGCACCAAAAGTGAGCATGTTGATAAGGAGACTTTGCTTTCAACTATTCCTCAAACCAGGTATTTCTTTCATGTGCTATTATTAAGAGTGTAACAGATGCTGGAGGGGTGCCTGGGTGGCTCACTTGGTCAAATGTCCAACTCTTGGTTTAGGCTCAGATCATGATCTTATTGGTGGTGGGATCGAGCAAGGGGCTCTCTGCTCAGCAGGGAGCCTGCTTGAGGATTCTCTCCCTGAGCACCCTGCCACTCATACACATGCATGCTTTTGCACATTCTCTCTCTAAAAACAAGTATATCTTTAAAAAGGGAGCCTGACATGAGACTCGATCCTGGGTCTCCAGGACCAGGCCCTGGGCCGAAGGCAGTGCTAAATCGCTGAGCCACCCAGGCTGCCCTTCTGTTTTCTAAATGAGGGAACTAAGGCTTATAATTTCAGATCGAAAATTGGTTATACTTAGATATGCAAAGTAAATTCTGCAGATCTGAGAAGAAAAGTAATACAGTGTTGTTTGGTGCTAAACACACTGCAACTTTGGTGCTTAACAGATCTGAGCTCAAAACCAGTTCTGTGGCATAATAGCTGTGAAACTTTGGGACAAATTTAATTAACTCACTTAGCTTCAGTTTTATCATTTATGAAACAGCAGTGTGAATACTTCCCTGCAGGGTCCTTGAGAGGTAGGCACTTTCGTACCAACATCTCCTGAAAGTGCCTTACAGGGCGTGCCTGGGTGACTCAGTTGGTTAAGCATGTGCCTTGGACTCAGGTCATGATCCCGGGGCCCTGGGATCAAGCCCTGCATTGGGCTCCCTACTCAGCGGGGAGTTGGCTTCTCCCTTTTTTCCCTGCTCATGCTCTCTCACACAAATAAATCTTAAAAAAAGAAAAAAAAAAAAGAAAAGTGCCTCGCAATTGCTATCTTGACAGATAGCAGAGCATAAATAAGAGAGAGCTAATCTGTACTAATGAATTATGTGCTAGACATGGTTCTAGGTTATTAACATGTATTATCACATGTAATCTTCAAAACAGCCCTATGAGGTACTAGATCAACATTTTTCAAGTGAGATAACTTGAAAAATGAGTAACTTGCCCATATTCAGCTTATAATTGGTAAAACTGAATGCTGCCTCTATTCTTTCTGTTGCAGAGTACTGCCTCTGCACAAATGCATCAAAATTACCTATATAGTCCTTGTTCATGGAACATAAATGTACCAGAAATCTGATAGGAAAGACATACTTGAGAGTAAATGGAAAATAAAATTATAGTCTGGAGCCAAGAGACAACTGTTCTATCATTAATTTGGAGATGGAACAGCATTAAATACTCAGCCATTACAGCAAAGAAGGTTGTCAAAAAAACAAAACAAAAAAAAAAAAACACCCTGTGAATTGAAATAGAGGAAACAAATGAAAGTTTTTGCTCTTAAGTGTTTCATGGAACAAATTTTAAAATTTCAAATTGTATAAACCAAGGTATAATTAGCCTTTGTGGAGACTAAATATTTTAGATGTTCTAGAAATCTGTGGATTATAAAATACCAGTTTGTCATTTCTTAAATGTAAGTTGCTTTACTTTATATATATTCTCTAGTTCATTATCTTGTGCTAAGAAGATCCATAGTTGTATTTAAGAGATATTACCAAAAAAAAAGATATTACAAGTATTTTTTTTTCATATATTACAAGTATTCTTTAAAATTTTTTTTACTTAATTCCAAAAAATAGTCCTGAAAGAGCATCTTACACATAAACAACTTTGCGCAGTAAAGGCAAAGTGGAGCTGGAAACTAGAAGTTTAGGATATGTTTTTTTTAAATGTCTTGCAAGAGTTTGAGACATATTTCTAACTAAATACAAGTTAAGAACTTTGAGATTGGAATATATTAAGCTATAACAAGTAAATCTTGCCAACTCCAGCTATATAATAACTAGTTGCTTTGACCCCCAGGAGTTGACTTTATTCTAACCTTTCTCTAGTATGTATGTAGCTCTAGATTTGGCTGAGGTTCAAAAGATTGTTGTTAAACTGAACAATAATGGTAACAGGCTGTGGGCTATCTGGTGAAGAGTACATCCAGTCTGTGTGGCCAACCTGCTATAACTGTAGTCTAAAACTAACCTATTTGGACCAGGCTCCATCTTTGACCCATGAAGGATAATATCAAAATACAAGTAGAAGATGTCGGGCTCCCGGCATGGAGCCTGCTTCTTCCTCTGCCTGTGTCTCTGCCTCTCTCTCTCTCTCTCTCTCTCTCTCTCTATCATAAATAAATAAAATCTTAAAAAAAAAAATACAAGTAGAAGGATAGCCATATGTTTAATTATCTGATTATCTCCTTTTTTTCTTCTATAGGAACAGCATAGAAGATGCTCAGTGTCCTGGGTTACAGGGTTTAATTGAAGTAAATGATGTAAGTCCTGGGACACCCGGGTGGCTTAGTGGTTGAACATCTGCCTTCAGCTCAGGGTGTGATCCCAGGTCCAGGGATCAAGTCCCTCATCAGGCTCCCTCCTCGCAGGGAGCCTGCTTCTCCCTCTGCCTGTGTCTCTGCCTCTCTCTGTGTGTCTTCCGTGAGTGAATGAATAAAATCTTTTTTTAAAAAAATAATGTAAGTCCTATTCCAGTAGAGTAGATAGCCATTTATGTTATTAGTAGTAACTCCATAAGCAACTCCCAGAATGTCCACTGGAACTCTCAACCAGTCATATAAAATGATAATTCTTGTTTTAAAGGCCTTTTGGCTTGTTTGAAACCATTGTTTCATTTTGTGTTCTTTAACTCACATCAAGATTATTTTTTTAAATAGTTTTATTATAACAGCCACACTTAAGTATTATATCTGGCTGCTTTTACAATACAGTAGTAGAATTGAGTAATTGTGGCAGAGATTCTGTGGTTCACAGAGCCTAAAATATTTAACATCTGGCCCTTCACAAAGAAAGATGTTTGCCATTTGGGCTCAGGTCATGATCCCGGGGTCCCAAACTGGAATATCATAAGCACTTGCTGAAGAAGCTTTCCTTCAATCATATTATTGCTATAATATTCTTTGAATTAATGGTTTAAGATGCAAGGTAGTAGAATTTATACTGTTCAGAATGTCATTCTTCTGTTTTTAATAGCAATAAGACTTTTATTATTTGTTCTAATTTTTGGTAATTAAAAACATTTTTTACTTACAGAATGCAAACAAGATAAACTTTGAAATGGCTTGTTTACCCAGTGAAAGAATGAATTTGCCCTTTCTTGCTGGAGAAGTGGCTGATGATATTAATACTAATAAAAAGAAAGAAATTCCAGATGTTATAGAAGGACTGGAACTACATTCTTCAGTTACAGCACAGGATGTTTTGATGAGCAGCCCTGCAAAAAATATACCATCACAAAATAACATCTTACAGGAAGAGAAAGCCAAAATTTCTCAGTCAGGTGAGGCCTTTTAAATACATTTGGATGAGACTTTGCTCAATAAATGAACTTAGACTAATACATAGATTATCATGACTACTTCTGGGTACCAGTTTGTAAGAGTAAAGGTTGAAAAATTGGGCATCACAATAAATACCTTAAAAGAATTAGTATGAGTTGTAGTATCCCACTGTACATCTCAAACCTTTTTTTTTTTTTCTTTTTTCATCTCAAACCTTTTGAAGTATACCTATTAAAAACAATGGCTACTACTCCATGCTGGAGATAAGTAGTATTGTAACTTAGACTTATATGGATTCTTCATTGTTGTGAAGACTCAGAGAAATTCCCCAAAATTAATTTTTTTTAGTTTACCTCCTTGTCAACACACATCCTCAAACTTTTCTTTAAAATGCCCTATTTTTCTTTCATAATGCCTTTTCCTATCTACTTTATTGTGATTGTTCTGCAATAGGAAATGGCTCTTGTACTTTTGTTATGGTACAATGTATGATAGTTTCACCTATTTTTATCTGCTACTCAGTGGTGCTGTTCTGGTTGGGGCCTACAGCAAAATAAACATAACCTTGGCCAGACACCTAAGGTACTCCAGCTGTGTTCTTTACAGAGATGCACCAGGCAAGGTATGGGCAAAGGGTACAGATCTTCCATGCCTTCCAAATGCACAGCTCTCCCCAAATCTCCACATATTCACCAACCTGGATGTCCAGTGGTACCTTTAATATTACAAGCATGCGATTTGTTTATAGACGACTCTTTATGCTGAATTTAAGGATGAGAATTTTACTAAAAAATTTAAGTACATCTAAAAAAATGCTGTAGCATAAGATGACCTCTTTTTGTCTTAGCATTTCATATATGGAGCTTTTCATCATTTTTGTCCATTTCTAACAACACTTGACTGTAAGGATATCCTTAAAAAGTTAAGTTGGGGTTTTCAGGTTTTTGTTTTGTTTTTTCAGTATTTGATACTAGAAGCCTCACGACTGAACGCCATCTTCTTGATTCGGTAAGTTTTCCAACTTAATTTGAAAAATTCCTTTATATTCTAGATGTGTTTTATAAAATGGTGTTACTTTTCAATTTGTGTACAAAGTTCGTTTAGAATTTGCATATTATTGTCTCATTTACTGTGAAATCCATTTGATACTCATTTTTCTCAAAATGGGGGAAAAATGTCATGTTTTTAACTTTAAAATATAGCATGTTTTAATACTGAATTCTGAAGATTTATTTCCCTATATAATTTATATATCAAATTTGTTATGACATATTGGTTGAATGCTTAAATATCTAATTGTAGCTGGGGTTATGCTAGGTATTTCTAAGTGATATAAGAAAAAATAAGGCAAGGTTTCTGCCTTTAGAAACGTACAGTTCAGAAGATAATGTCTTACCTTTAGTCATCATTATTTTCATTTTAATTATTTTATTTATTTATTTTTTTAGACTTTATTTTTATATATACCAGAGAGAGAGGAGAGAGCAGGGTTGGGCAGGGGGGTGGGTGGGCAGGCCAGAGGGAAAAAGAGAAGCAGACTCCCCACTAAGCAGAGAGCCCAATATGAGGCTCATCCCAGGACCCTGGGATCATGACCTGAGTCAAAGGCAGATGCTTAACTGACTGAGCCACCCAGATGCCCCCATCTTAATTCTTTTAGATATATATATATATATATATATATATATATATATATATATATATATATATCCTGCTATTTTATTTGGAGGCTCCCCAGCCTATACTTTTGGTGACCTCTTGCTTCTGCATCTAGTTCAAACATTAGCTCTTCTATGAAGACTTCCTGGAAAATCTTTCATCTCTCTCATATTAATTTATATATAGGTATAGGCGCGTAATGCACATGCTTTAATCTCTTAAGAGTATAATTTGGGGGAGCCTGCTTCTCCTCCTCGCTTGTGTTCTCTTCAAGATCCCTGTCTCTCTCAAATAAATAAATCTTTAAAAAAAAAAGTAAAATATGAATACTATATTCCCAAAATATAATTTTAGGAATCCATTTCCCTTATAGGCTGGAAATTCCTCTTTAGGCAGAGCTGATTCATATGGCACTGTGGATGCTGGCACTGTGGCATGAATGAAATAGTGCTCTCTGGCCTACTGAGTGTTTACAGCAGTGCATTTCAGCCCTACCCCCCAGATATTTTTATTTCAACAGTCTGGAGTAGGACCTTTATCAGGTGATTCTAATGTTAACGAGGTTGACAACCCTGATTCATAGCCTTACCTTGAAAATTTCCAGGGCCGGTTGCTAAAATGGGTCAGGAAATGGCCTTGGTTTGTTAATCTTTGATCTCAGAATATAAACAATTCATTAAGGCAAAAGTAGGATAAGGCTAAAAGAACAATAATCTGTGTTAACCTCATGAATCCTGGCAAATATTTGGCTTCCTTAAGTATTAAGGAAGCCACTGATTCCTTAAGGACCTCTGTATATGTTGGCTTTCATTATTTTCAAACATGCCTTGTTTATGTGCAGGCTTTTGGGCTGCCCTGTGTCTCAGGAGCAGAATGAAGTGTGTCACTGTGACCTGTACTGTGTACTTTCTTGATCTTGGAGTCAGGGATTTCAGCATAAGGTCAATTGATATAAATCTGATTTAAGCCTGTTCCCAGATCTGAACTCTGCTTCTGATAATGTAGGATAGTACAAATAAATTTGGAATTTAGTGTATCATAATATTTTGTTTTATACTAATACTATGATTAAAAATTGCTTCATAGTTATCTCTTATACATTATCTCGTTGCCAAATCTTAGTACTTTATAATCTCCCTATGAATTCTTTTCTACTTTCATAAATATTAGAACTTAGACTTTTTAATTTTATTTTTCATAGGTCCCCCTGTCTATTTTGGACCCAAATTATTACTTGCTTCTGTAGCATCACTTGAACCAGATACAGGGCCCCAGAAGAACAAAGAAAAGGATCCTAGCAGGATCACATTAGTAAAAAGCCTATTAAATGCAGTTATATGGATTAGGATTTGTGGAATCTGTGTCAGTGGCTTAAGATACGGCCTTAATTTTATTCATCCTACATCTATCACTGAAGTCCATTTACATTTACTAGTCACCCTTAAGACATATGTACCTAATATACCTTTATAATTTTAAAAAAAAAAAGTATATATGTGAAATTAGATCCACTGGTAAGTAGCAAAATCATTGCGCTATTGATTTATTACTATATACAGAAAATGTTATTTATGTTATTAATTAACCTACTATTAACTTGCAATGTCGAAGGCTCAATTGGTGAAACCCTTGATGTAATGACTTCTCTGAATTCACTCTCTAGCCGGACCTAAACTGCAGTACTACCTTCACTTGGGTGGAGAGGAAACATCAAGATCATATCAGACACATTTCCTTTGGTGGTAACTTGATTGCCTTTTCACCTCTAAGGCCCTTCAGTGATGAACAACCAGAAGAATTTTGAATTTAAAAATAAGTCCAAACATTTTTTTCATATTATCAATGTGATATATTGTTAGCGTGCATTTGTATTCACTTCTAGTCAATTTACATAGTGTCATAAAATGTTTTAATATTCAGTGTTCAGGGATCCCTGGGTGGCGCAGCGGTTTAGCGCCTGCCTTTGGCCCAGAGCATGATCCTGGAGACCCGGGATCGAATCCCACGTCGGGCTCCCGGTGCATGGAGCCTGCTTCTCCCTCTGCCTATGTCTCTGCCCCTCTCTCTCTCTCTGTGTGACTATCATAAATAAATAAAAATTTAAAAAAAAATATTCAGTGTTCATTGAAGTGTGTTTTAGATATGATAGTGTTTCTCGAGGGAAGTGGGGAATATTTTGTACATTAACTATGCAGAATAAAAGATGTACTTTACCCTGCCTCTCTTGTTTAAAATGTATAAGCAAAAAAATAAAAAAATAAAAAAATAAAAAAATAAAATAAAATGTATAAGCTTGGGATGCTTGAGTGGCTCAGTGCTTAAGTGTCTGGCTTCTGCTCAGGGCGTGATCCTGGAGTACCGAGATCAAATCCCACAATGGATTCCCTGAATGCAGCCTACTTCTCTCTCTGCCTCTGCCTCTGTCTCTGTCTCTGCCTCTCTCTCTCTGTCTCTTATGAATAAATAAAATCTTTAAAAGAATAAAATGTATAAGCTTAAAGTTAAGTGTACTTACTCAGAGCTTAAGAACATTCAACTATTATAGGGGCCCACTCAATCTTTGCCTTTTCTTTTCATTTTCCCCTTGATATAACTGACAGCCTTAGAAGGAAATGCCTTCTTCTCTTGAAAAGAATTATATCAATCATTGAATGTGTTTGAAGTATTTTCTCTTTTGTAAAACTCTCAATTACAGGATTGTAGAAGGCAGGGCCATAACAGCACCAAGACTCATAAGGGCTAGAGCTTGTAACCAGACCCGAGTCCAATTATTTCTACCTCTAAATGAGTTAGGGTTGGAGGGAGTCACCAAACAAGCAGCACCTTTAGAAACTCATTAAGGGTTTTCAAAAAGAAAAGAAAACCCATGCACTTTGGTTGTCAGTGAAAGGTATGTTATGCTTGTGGGAGAGGTAGTATTATCAAGACTATGTGAGCCCTCACCCAAGGCTGTGTGAGGTGCTGGCTTAGAAGAGTTCTCAGGGCAGCCTGGGTGGCTCACCGATTGAGCACCTGTGTCTTTTAGATTTTATTTATTTATTCATGAGAGACATACTGAGAGAGGCAGAGACCCAGGCAGAGGGAGAAGCAGGCTCCATGCAGGGAGCCTGACGCGGGACTCGATCCCGGGACTTCAGGATCGCGCCCTGGGCCAAAGGCAGGAACTAAACTGCTGAGCCACCCAGGGATCCCCCCAAATAAAATCTTTAGGCATTCTGAGAACTTTTTTTTTTTAATCTTACCAAAAGATAAAAAGCAGCTTTAACAGTCCATTAATGAATAATTCAAGCAAGACATGAAGAACAAAGAAACATATAAAAGTTAGGGTTTTCTAAGGGCCCAAGCATATGACCATGCAAAAGAAGTTGGTGCAAAGTAACCCAAAGACTTAGAATCTGTATAAAGCAATATGAAGGGACACCTGGGTGGGTCAGCAGTTGAGTGTCTGCCTTCAGCCCAGGGCGTGATCCTGGAGTCCCTGGATCAAGTCCCACATCGGATCGGGCTCCCTGCTGTGTCTCTGCCTCTCTCTCTCTCTCTCTCATGAATGGATAAATAAAATTTTTAAAAAAAAGCAATATACAACATAATAATAATATATGCCCTCAACAATAAAGCAGATAAGAGTAAAAAGTGTGATCTTTTTTGTGTCTGTGGGTTTAATAAGATGTACTATTGTTCAGAGAACTTTTGGCTGTTTAGTAATAGTAACATGAACTGAAACTGGCTTAATAATAGGGAAGTTTATTTTTACAAGTTGTCAGGATGATTCCAGGCACTTTACAATCAACAGCTCAATGCATCAAGGTCCATCATTATGTTCATAGTTCCTTCTGTCATCCTTTTGTATGGGATGACCTACAAAAGGACATGCTGGGTCCTTTTGGGGTCACATATGGCTAGCATATTGAAAATCGAAGAATAGGGATCCCTGGGTGGCGCAGCGGTTTGGCACCTGCCTTTGGCCCAGGGCGCGATCCTGGAGACCCGGGATCGAATCCCACGTTGGGCTCCCGGTGCATGGAGCCTGCTTCTCCCTCTGCCTGTGTCTCTGCCTCTCTCTCTCTCTCTCTGTGACTATCATAAATAAATAAAAAAAAATTAAAAAAAAATCGAAGAGTATGTATTTATGTTCACTTGTTTTAATTTATATAGTATCATAAAAGGTTTTAATATTCAGCGTTCATAAAAGTATGTTTTAGATAGGATAGTGTTTCTTGGGAAGTGGGAATATTTCGACAATCCCTTTGGGATTGTCTTTAATCAGGATTCCTTATTTTGTCTAGGATTATACTTAAATAAAACCATGACTATTAGGAAACCGGGGATGAATGGGTAAGCAGCCATCAGTGTGCCCTACAACTAAAGTGTTCTTAATTAGGCTATTGGACTGTAGAATTATGAGGTATTAGAAAAACCTTTAAAGATACAATGAGGGGATCCCTGGGTGGCGCAGCGGTTTGGCGCCTGCCTTTGGCCCAGGGCGCGATCCTGGAGACCCGGGATCGAATACCACATCAGGTTCCCGGTGCATGGAGCCTGCTTCTCCCTCTGCCTGTGTCTCTGCTTCTCTCTTCCTCTCTCTCTCTCTCTCTCTCTCTCTGTGTGTGTGTGTGTGTGACTATCATAAATAAATAAATAAATAAATAAATAAATAAATAAATAAATAAATAGTTTAAAAAAAAAAAAGATACAATGAAAGTGGGCAGCCTGGGTGGCTCACAGGTTTAGCGCTGCCTTTGGTCCACGGCGAGATCCTGGAGACCCTGGATCGAGTCCTGTATCGGGCTCCCTGCATGGAACCTGCTTCTCCCTCTGCCTCTCTCTCTCTCTGTGTCTCTCATGAATAAATAAGTAAAATCTTAAAAAAAAAAAAAAAAGCAATGAAAGAATATTGCTTCAGTAGAACAAATGCCTTTCCAAAAATGAAGGAAAAAAAGGTATTTCCATTTATTGAAGACCTATATGGCAACCCTTTTGTGAACAATATTTTTTCAACAATCATAGTAACCCTACGAAAGATGTATTATGCCACCATTTTATAGACAAAGGAGCCAACGATCAGGATTTAAGTAATTTTGTGTAAACCGAGTCCCTTTTCTGTAGCTTATGTTTTTCCACTTAATTATAGGTGTGGAACAGTCAAGGCCAGAATGTTAGAGTAAGGAATTAACAGTTCTTGAAATAAGCTGTGATGTGCCACTCACATTCCCTCTTTAGGACTAAAAGACTTTCCTTTAATTGCCAAAAGTGCTACCAGACAACTTTCAGGCACCATCCCCACATGAGAACTACCTCAGGTAAAGGCAGCCACTTCACCCAAGATCATCCTGTTTCTCAGGTGGCTTGTATTTTGTTGACTGATAGAAGTGAGGATATAAAGGACTGTCCCCCCTCCTTGACAGTTCCAAAGGGTCATCCCAGCTTCAGAACCCTTGTAGGATGGCCTGAGGCATCAATACCCCCTTCTCCCTCTGCCCAGTCATGTGCCTTCTTGTCCCCAAAGCTGTTGATGGCAAGACTCTTCCCCCATAAGCCTCTCTGGGTTCTCGTTTCTGCTTCCTGGGGAACCCAACTTGTGACTGTTTCTGAGAAGATGGTGTTATAGAAACAATAAACAGACCAAACAATATTTGGATCTTATAAAGTGAAGTGCTGTGACCACATCCTAGTTTCAAAATTATATATTTGGGCTTGCCAGTAATGAGGAAGAGCAGAAAGGCGCAGTTAAGAATGTTGGCAATAGGAACTATTAAATTTTTCAAGCTGACAATATAGTATCTAATAGCTTCATTTTTCCTCTACAAATATGGAGATTTCATAAAAACCAAGAGAACTTACAAGATTGACTCATCCTGTTATCAAATACAGATTTGAAAACAGCTAAGTATAATTTAGAAAAAAATAGTTAAAAGGAGTGAAAAGAAATATACCAGAATGCTAACAATAACTAGGTCATTAACAGCCATACTTTGTGTTTTTCTCATTTCCTGAATATAAACTTAAGAAAATGGGAGAATGATTTTCTTGTAGCATCTTCAGGGTTTTATGAAACTCTGAGAGAGATTAAAATATTTTCTTTAAAAAAATTAAAATATATTTTTTTAATTTTTAAAAATTTATTTATTCATGATAGACATAGAGAGAGAGAGAGGCAGAGACACAGGCAGAGGGAGAAGCAGGCTCCTTGCCGGGAGTCCGACGTGGGACTCAATCCCGGGACTCCAGGATCGTGCCCTGGGTCAAAGGCAGACGCTAAACCCCTGAGCCACCCAGGAATCCCCCATATTTTCTTTAAGATTTTATTTATTCATTCATGAGAGACAGAGAGAGGCAGAGACATGGGCAGAGGGAGAAGCAGGGTCCATGCAGGGAGCCCAATGTGGGACTTGATCCGGTGGATCACGTCCTGGGCCGAAGGCAGATGCTCAACCACTGAGCCACCCAGGCATCCCTAAAATATTTTCTTTAAATGTTTTAGTAAGTATAGAAAACTCTGGGAGACTCTAATGTGATATTAATATTGCTACATATTCCTTTTCCACTGAGTCCATTGTGCTTTATCAAGAATAAATTGCCCCAATTAAATGGCACATAAAGACAGGGAACTCTTAGAATGTTTATTAAATGGATGATTTACAAGAAGGATAGTGATGAATAAAGGTAAAATTTTTCAGTCGAAACATGAAGTTTACATGTGTAAGTTTAAATGAATATTCAATTCTCTTTTTTTTTAAATCTTCTCCTTTAAGATTATATCATAGCATATGAAGCACTGGTGAGATCTATGTCACCAGAAATTCCCAGTTTGCTGATTTCCGGGAGATTTTTCATCCGATGATTGTACTGCAACAAATGGGCATCATTGACCGCAACCTTGAAGTGGTCAGATTCAACCAGCACTTGTATCTGAAATGGCACATACACAAAACTGTTAGAAATGCTCATTAATTTCAAAACCAGTCTGGCCTAAGCTCAGAATGTCCCACGTTTCATCTTTCTGATCATCCGTGGAACTGACTGAAGTCCAAAAAAGGAACTTCACAGCAAAAATAAATTCCACAGATTATCCAAAGATTCAAGCAAAATAAATGAAAAAAAAGATGATAAAGATAAGGTAAAGCTATAAAGGTAAAGATTAATAATGTATCTACACAAAAACAAAGTTTTTGTATGGCCAACACCTAAAAGTAAAAAATAAACACACCAAGTGC